GACTTGCAGCTCAGCTCATCTATGTTGCCTCTGTGTGTCTCAGTTCACCTGAAAAAGGAGACAAGAACAGAGCCTGCAAGGACTGTTGGGCTGACACTGGGTCAGTGTGGGTGAGCATCAGAGAACGATGCCACCATCCTTCTGCCCCATCCACGGTTAGCCAGGTGTGGCCAAGGGTGCCAAGGTGTGTCAGTGCATGGGACAAGTGGGGTTCCTACAGTCCTACTGCTGGCAGCTGAGAGGGCATAGTAGGTGGACAAGGTCATGTCTGTACCATGAGAATGACATGGATGTGAATGATTACAGCTGGGAGGGGGCAGGGAGGGCTTCTCAGAGGAGGTGACATTTGACCTAACACCTGAATGAGCTGAAAGAGGCAGATTCTGCATGAATCTATGAGTGGAGGCAGTGCAAAGGCCCAGAGACAGGCATGAGTGAGCCCCTGGAGGGGAGCCACCATGGTGGCTGGGGCAGGACACAGGAAGATGGTTAGACAGGAAGTGGTAGGAAGCTGCTCCTGCCACACATCTTCAACCTGTCAGAGGCTTTTGGCTTTGACCTGAATGCAGGGAAAAGCTGCTGGAGGTACCCCCTCAGGTGTGTAGGGAGGGCTACAAGCGTGCTTCTGGGAGCTCATGGCCTCTGTGTGAGTGTGGGCCACGCCTTGCAGAGCTTCAGCAGGTGGTGGCTGTAAACAGTGCTTCTGTGCGGTTTCCAGAAACAAATGATCCTGTTTCCAGAACTCGGATACCCACAGTGCAGTGGCCCACCTGGGGCCTTTGGGATCTCTCTCATCCCGTTCTTATCTAGGGTCATTTTTGAAAGGTCAGGGCAAGCCACAGAAGGTGTCAGGAGAGCTAACAGGAAGTTACGGAGTCCTGATGAGGGTGCTGCCTGCTCATTTGCCCAGCCCAGCACAAAGCCAGATGAATGTTTAATAAATGCCGTCTGGGGCTGACCTCTCCCCAGGTGTGGTATTTGCAGCAGAATACAGGACTGGGGTCCTGGAAGGGCTCGTGTCCGCTTCTTGCCAACCATTTTCTCATCCAGCTCTCCCGTGGTCCTGCTAAATAGAGTGCCACTGTGTGAGAATTGCGAGCATACCCATGGTCCCTGTACACAGGCCCGTGAAGAGTGATCAGTGCTTTTTATCTCCACATTCTGGGTCTGGACACCCTATTCAACCCTCCCTGAATGGCAGCGCACAGCCTGCGCAGCCATGCATAACCATCTCAACTACAAGTTGCCCTGCGTCTCCATTTTTATAAAGCTGACCAGTCACATGTAGTCACGTGTCCCACTGGTGGGGCAGCTTTCCGGGGGCACGCAGCTAGAATTAATAGAAGCAGGAGCAAGAGAGCAGGTGCTCTTGCAGCTTGCTGCCTCTCCCTGTCAGGTACATACAGTGGGTGTAGGCACTGAAGGCAAGATGAGGTAGGGAAGGTGGAAGGCTGGGAGAAACAGTGAAGGAAAGAGCAAGTCCTTGCGACATGGGGCTGGGGGTGGGGAGGCAGGCCTCAAGGACAGTCTGCTCAGGGCCTTGGTGAAATGGGAGGGTACCCCATAACCCTTTCACCATGTTGCTTGGCACCACAACTCTCAGCCACATCCCAGCTGCAGCTGCACCTCATCCACCCACACTGTAACTCACTCACAAGCATTTATTTTGCTCTTGATCAGCAAGCGAGTGCACATGCTGCTGGTTGTATGGGCACTGCCCAGGGTGCTGCCCACTCTGCTGGTTGGCACAGGGAAGCTGGGTGTCGCAGGGAATGTGACATCCTGAGCAGTCACCGCAGAGCCAGTTTCCCAGACATCACCTGTTGGCTCTCTGAAGATGAGAGGGTAGGGATGAGGGTTGGTGCTTGGCCCCCATCCCCTAGTTTTCCTGAAGGCTTCTGTATGGGGAGCACACACTCAAAACGAGGAGGTGGTGATGACAGCCATTGTGGAAGTGGCCAGGGCTCATCCTGAACTTTATGTGTCTCAGGGGAAGTGACCAGGGTCATGCGTGCCACCTTCCCTTAGATTGGCTTGGTTCTAAAGTCAGCACATGATGGGCGGGCAAAAACTTGCATCCTACCCCATTCCTCTTAACGACTTCTTCATCTCCAGCTTGTGGATGCATCTCCACACTGCTACATGGGAGTGTTACAAGTTTGTATGACCAATGTGGTACTACATACTTAGCTCATCAATCACTCCCCTGCTGCCTTCCCAGGCAAGCAAGGGTGGGAGGTTGAAGCTGCAGTCAAGGGGTACAAGTTCCACTGTTGAAGTCACTTCCCTCATACCCTCATCTCCGTCTGTCTCTCCCTCCTCTTTTTGGTCCCCATATTCTTATGACAAACCCCTATGTGTTATGTGGTCACTCAATGAGACAGCCCTTGGGCAAAGGACTGTATCATTTACAGAGAAGTTTAGACAAGTCCCTAAGGTTGCATACCTCAGGAATCTGTGAAGCCAGGATGTGGTCTTTGAGCAGCCCTGCTGGTGATCATGCAAGCTGTCACTGGGGAAGGCATGAGGACCTTCATGGATTCTGCTGTGCCTTCAGCAGTGACCTTCTTATGCTGCTTTTGTTGACTACACTTGAGGTTCAGGCACTTTTCATAGTATCTCGGGACAGGTGTTGTGACACACCAGATTAAGCCACTTCTTAGAGTGCCCACATACCATATCAGAGCATTGGGTCAAGACCTAGATGCTCTGCTTCTGACCCGGCTTCCTGCTGATGTCCCTGGGAAGCAGTAATGGATGGCCCAAGTGCTTGGTTGCTTGGGTTCCTACCCCCCGCGTGGGAGACGCAGATGGAGTTCTAGACTGCTGGATTCTGCCTGGTCCAGCCCCAGTTGTTGTGACCATTTGGAGAAGGAAGCAGCATATGGAAGATTGATCTCTTTCCCTCTATGTCTCTCTCTCTCCTTCTACCACACCCCATCTGTCATAGTGTCTTTCAAATAGATAAATAAATCTTTAAATCAAAATAAGTGTTTCTATCAGGCCAGCCCTGAGACTTAACAGCCAATATTGTATGCCCATTAAACACCCAATGATTGCTAACATATTTATTGAAGCTCAACAGGCATTGAGTGTATAAAAGATGACTCTCTTATAAGGCTGTCAGACCTCAACAACCATGTTTAATAATTAATTGACATTAGGCAAACATAATTGTGTGATTCTAAATTAAGTGTTCAGTGAAGCATATTGTGAATGGAGAACCACCATAGTGTTTTATTACTTAAAGCTCAGGCTATCATGCTGACTTTTTACATATCATGGAAATGCCAGGATTTTCTGGGCGCAGCTCCTGTTCCCTGTGGCTCTGGCCCCACACCCTCAAAGCTGAGAGCTATTGCCTCTTGGCTCGTTATTTGTTTTCCTGTCTGAACTTTTGGGGTTCAGCTATCCTGAGCCGAGGATTAGGGAGTGCCTATAAGCTCTGGGTGAAGCCAACACTGAGGCCTCTCCCAGGAAAACACAGGGGGCCAGGCCTTAGTGGGCTCCTGGCCAGCTGTCTGTCACCTGATTAATCACAGGGTTGCTGTTGGAAGCTGCTTTGCTTAGCACTAATGGTTCCTACAGGGAACCTGGAATTTCAGCAGCAGCAGAAGCACTGTGCCACATGTAGGCCTGCACTGGGCTTAGGAACCATTGTAAAGTGGGAAGGTAGGTTAACACAACACAAGAAAACAGACAGAACTACCCTGGAATTCAGCAATCCTTCCATCCTAGATATATTTCCAGGGGCAGGGAATTCATTATGTCAAAGAGATGACTGAGCACCCGTATTGCAGAAGAGGTCACAGTAGCCACGATATGGCATCAGCTTTTCTTGGCTATTGGGTGTCCATTAGTAGATGAATAGATAAAGCAAATGGGGAATATATAAGCAACGGAATGCCATTCAGCCACCATGAGGGAGGAAACTGACATTTTCAGCAACACAATGAATCTTAAAGACATTGAATTCAGCGAAATAAAGCCAGATGCAGAAGGACAAATCCTACGTGCTCTCACTTCTACGTGGAGTCTTGAAAGGCTGGTTTTTTTTATTGAAATAGAGAATAGAGCTGTCTTCTCCCAGGAACTGGCAAGGATAGGAGATGGCAGGGCAGAGTGGGGAGAGGAGTTGGCCGATGGTGCAGAGTTAGAACTGGGAGAAATTAAGGCTTATAAGCTATCAACCCATAGCACAACTGTAGTTAGCAATAATGTCTTGTTTATTTCAAAATATCTAGAAGACAGGTTTTTGAATGCTCTCACTACAAAGAATTGCTGAGTGTTGGAGATGACGGATATGCTGATTACCTGATGGGATCATTCCACAATTGCAATGCACATTGTGCCCATAAATATGTACAACTATTATGTATCAATTCAAGGAAAACAGCAAAATCACCAAAAACAAAACTATGAAGATGTGAAAAACATGGCGCTAACTAGACCGTGAAAAGAACAGTTGTTTACAGTGTGAGAGCTGAGTCAAGAAGACAAAGGTGGCCTTGTTCGACCCCAGCTGGGAACAAACGGGCGTGTCAGGTGCTCACAGTTTTCTGGCTGCCTTGCACATGTCCAACAACGACCACAAATGCACCTGGAGTATTGATTTGGGGTTAAAAATAAATTTTACCAGGTAGGCACATTGGCAAGTATAGAACCTATGAGTAAGGAGAAGCGAGCAGAATGCGATGTCTTGAAGCACAGCTGACTGTATGCTGTGTCCTGTGTGGTCTGCGAGGCCTCTGGGCAGTGGTCCTGCCTGCCTGGGCCACAGGTCACCCATCTCCGTTCTTGGTTGCCTGTAAATATTTGTTGAATTTAATTGAGTAGTTTTCAAATAGACTCCAAAGTACATGTCATTTGAAAACATTCTTGAATCATGATTTCTTTCTAAGTTCATTGCTGTTATTTATTATTTCCATGGATTTAATTAATCCTTGGGCTTTTGTTTAGAGCTCTTCACGCTCTCTCTTTTCTTGTCATGGGAAATACAGCTCCTGAGGATGACAATCGCGAAGCAAAGGCTGGGGGATGAGGAGATCGGCGCCCGTCACTTCGCGGCCCATGAGCGTGAAGACTTGGTCCAGCAGCTGGAGCGGGCGAAGGAACAGGTCACAGGTCACCTCTTTGAAGCCAGGGGATTGTGCTGGCCCAACTGGACATGGAAGAAGCGACTGTGCTCTTGGTTCTCAGAGTTAGGGGTGGGAGTCAGGGTCACAGGCTAAGTCCTGTTCCGGGTCCTCAAGCTGAGCCGAGACAAGTGCCGCTGTTCCGAATACAACAACAACAACAAAAAATTTCCCCCTACCCAGTATAGACAGGGAGGGACCAAAAATGTAACAAACTGGCCTTAATTTGCAAGTTTCCACTAAAATGCTGAGCTGTGCTTCTTCTGCAAAAATCTCAGCGGGTACTGAGTCCTAGTTAGGGAGCAGCTGAGCGGGCCTGGATTTTGTTTTCCTCTTCTGACTAATTGATTTTGAAGAGCAGAACAAGATTTCTAGATCTAGAGCAGGTTGGAAAAAGTCTGCAGGACCCTGGCAGCCTCTTGCCATGTCTGGATTTGCCCTCCTGGGGTGGCTAACTTGGTGGCAGGCTTCAAAGGGTTTCGTTCTAGTTTTCCAGCAGCTACTTATCTCCTGCCTGACATAGTGAGGGTCTGGCAGGAAGGCGTCCCCTGGCCTTTAGCTTATTGTGTCCCTGTATGTGTTGCATGCAAGTGGTACTCACAAGCCCTCCAAAAGTCTGCCATGCAAGCAGGAGGCTCCATCTCTGGCCAGAAAGCCAGTGGGCGAGCTGCTTGGTGAGTAAAGGTATTTGCTTGGGTTTCAGATCGAGACCTTGGAGCATGACCTGCAGGCCTCGGTGGACGAGCTCCAGGATGTCAAAGAGGAGCGCTCTTCCTACCAGGACAAAGTGGAGAGGCTAAACCAGGAGCTCAACCATATCCTGGGCGGCCACGAGAACCGCATCATCGATGTGGATGCCTTGTGCATGGAGAACAGGCAAGTGGTTGGGCCAGGTGTGAGGCTGCGGGAGTCCGTTGCAGCCCTGGTTACAGGGGAGAAAACTGCCTTACAAAGGAAAAGAAAGACACCCTTCTCCCCAGAAATGATAACTACAGCATCAGCTGTCAGAGGTCTTCTGAAAGCTCCTGGGAAATATGTATTATGAAGAAAAAAAAAGTGCATGGATTTTGAAAATGGTTCCTGTAAAACAAATGTGTTTTCTAATTCTGTTTTTTCATGAACTTTCTGAAGTGTCCTTGTATTTGTTGTAAAACTAACAAAACCAGTTCTGCAGACTTATCTCTGCCCTTCCACTTCCCAGCTTTGCATTGAGGAGGCGGGGTGCGGGGGGGTGGGGGGGGGTGGGGAGCAGTCAGCACCGGCTTGTTATTGCTGTCAAGTAGAGGGACAAGTGTTGGAAAACAAAGGGAGAAATTCCCTTAGCTGTTCCTCTTCCCCCAGGCAAATTGCAGTGCAGGGTTGTGTCTGACTTAATGTACGTGTGTGGTGTCGCCTCCTCTCGCCTTAACCTCCCAGTGGAGTCATCTTAATGAGAATTATGTGACAACAATGTTGGTGGCCTCCAGGGGATCTCCATGAGCGCTGTTTTAAATGGGGCATCTGCGACTTGGGCGTGTCTGACCTTGATGACACCCATTAGAGAAGAGCCCAGAAGGATGCAAGTCCTGCTCCTCTTCCTCTCTGTGGGGACAAGACGGTGTTTTTTGAATAAGCCGTGTATAGGAATAGAAAACATGTTCGTTGTTTCCTCTTGTCCTTTAGTGGATGGATTTTACTCCATCCCCAACACTTCCTCATATTCTTTTCCAGGTATCTTCAAGAGAGGTTAAAACAACTGCATGAAGAAGTCAACCTTTTGAAATCCAACATCGCCAAATACAAGGTGGCAACATCACAATGCTGGCAAGGGTGATTCACTATTGCACAGCCAAATGTCATGCCAGAAATGTCCAAGTATTTGCCTATCCTCCCGGAGTCCCCTGAGAGATTTCACTGCCATAACCAGTGAAAAATTAAACCCCAAACAAGAAACCAAACCCAAGCCACTTTCACAAGTAAAGCTCCTTTCAGGGCTGGCACCTGGGCAGAGTACACAGAGACCACCAGAGTCCAACCCGGGGGCTTGACAGCCCGTCTCTGTGCAATCAACTCTCTTCCCATTTCCTCCATCAAACATTCAAGCATCAGATGCTATTTGTCTCATAATCATCTGTTAAAAAAAAAAAAAAAGATTTCCGAGGGATGGAGAAACAAAGATTGGGAAATCATGATCGCAGGGATAATGTTCACGTCACACTGAAAGGACAAAGTGTTTAAATTCTCCCCACTGTTATTTCGTCTAATTGCAGCATCATTAGTTTGATAATATCTATTTCTGCAGATGTTAGTTGTAAGTGTTATAATTAGAAAAAAATCTCCTGGGTTTCTCTGCTTTGAAAATAGATTTCTCTTCCTGAGGGTGAGGTTTCACAGCCGTCTGCATGCCTGGGAGAGAGCCTGCTCATTTTCCTGCTTGTTGCTGGTTAGTTTTGTCCTCAGAGTTCTCCAGGCTGTTCCGTTTTGTGGGGACCCACCCTTTTCACCCATCTGTTTATACTCATGCAGCCATGGATACGGCTTTTAATACATAATTCTTAAAAAATGTGTGGTTGCAATATTTATTCAGTTTCACATGCCAAGTGCTTGTCAGTTTTAGTGTAAAAGCGTGCTGGAGGGTTGACATGCAGGTGGCGCACCTGCACTGCCTCACTCTGGTGTCCGTGGCAGACGTCAGTAACTGATCATGGCTCTCTCTCCAGGCCATCCTCAGAACGTGGCACATACCCCACCCCCATAGGATAGGAAAGCAGCCTGTTTTCCATCTCACGTCTGTCCCGGTGGGATTTCTGTAACTCGTGACTTCACACATAAGTCTTCATTCTTGCCTTGGGTTTGACTCAATTGAACAACCTGCATGGAGCACCTTTTGAGTTCGCTGTGGATCCCTAGCAGCCATCGCTCTTGGGCAGGGATTCAGGGTGTGGTGTTAAGAAGGGTTCCTGCGTGCTGCATCCAGGTGTTCTCCATCACTGACTTTTCTTATGGAAGTTTTTGTTCTCTCCCAATGCTGCTTTAGAATGCTCTTGAGAGGCGGAAGAATTCAAAGAGCCAGGGCAAATCAAGCAGCAGCGCCTTGACTGGGGTCCTTTCGGCAAAACAAGGTGGGATTTTCTTTCTGCTCTGGGAAGGACCTCTCATGAGCCAAGAATATCAGGGCTACAGGCTCAGTGGGGTGGGAGGCAAGGCCCTGGGGAACAGGAGCACCCCAACTACAGGAGAGCTTGTCAGGACACGGAATGGTGGGCTCCATCCCAGAGATGCTGACTCGAACAGCCTCAGGTGGGACCTGAGAGAAGTCCACTGGTGCTGGCTCGGAGCCTCCTAGGAAATACTTGCTGGGAAATTTTCCTTTCAGGAGAGCTTTCTTCCCCTTAACCACCTGTTTAGCATCTCCAAGGATGCTTTCACTTTCCTTGAATATCTCCTTTTCCAGGCCTTTGCCATCAGGAAAGACCCAAGTCATTTAATCATAGCAGTGCCTTTTCAGGGAATTTTTTTTACTGATTGTAAGCTTGTTCCTCCTCCTTGTCAATTTCGATGAAAAATAATGACCTTCCAAGAAACAGTCCTGGGGAATAAATAGCAGAAAACTTGCTGCTGACACTCAATATTTGGAAATCTAGTTCTAAACCAAATTTCTCAGCCAGCCATGCTCTCCACTGGCCCGCTTAAAAAAAAAAAAAAAAGACTTTATTTCTTTTTATTGGAAAGGCAGGTTTACAAAGAGAAGAAGAGTAGAAATAAAGATCTTTCATCCACTGGTTCACTCCCTCAGTGGCCAAAATAGCCAGAGCCAAACCAATCCAAAGACAGGAGCCAGGAGCTTCTTCCAGGTCTCCCTGCCAGTGCAGGGTCCCAAGGCTTTGTGCCATCCTCCAAAGCTTTTCCAGGCCATAAGTGGGGAGAGGAACTGGCTCCAGTATCGGATCCTGGTGCATGCCAGGTGAGGATTTAGCCACTGAGCCATTGTGCCGGGCCCCACTGGCTCACTTTCGGCTAGGACCTGTGATATGGCTGTCTTAACCTGAGTGAGAAAGGCAGACCATAAAGTGCTGAGTCTCCAGGCTGTCCAACAATCACGGCTCTTTTCCTAGCAGCTTCTCTTTCACACTCAACTAGAACAACCTAGACTTGTGCTTTAAAAAAAAAAGCTCTTTTAAAATGTCTAGTAGCATCTCTGTGTTTAGCCCTGGGGACCACATTTGCATACCCACAGGACACTGGCCGAAGTGAGAGGGCCAGCTGTACTCAGACCTGGGGATAGGAACAGTAAGTCTGACAAGACCTTTCTGGAACACTGGCTATGGAAAGCATGGCATATGATTTAGGGGCATCAAGAAATGAAATCCACATGTGAACATCACCTTATATTGTCAAACCTTAAAACAGCTGCCTTTGAATCAGCATGAGATAAGTACAGACACATGTAAACGCCTGCAACAAGGAAGTTCATACACCAGACATAAATAATAATGGAAACAACATACATATTCAGCAATAAATAATTACATGTCTGTACATGGACCACCAGAGCAGCCACAACATTCTTATGTTTTAAGTCATACTAACGACAAAGAATTTTGCCAAGTAAGAAAGGCAGGGCTTTTTCCCATTCTCGAAGACAAACTGTGACATGAATTTGTATGTCTACCATTGGATTTCAAAAAGGTACAGTGACAGATTTTTACTGTCTTTATTTTTTTCTGCCTGATCCGAATACAAATGGTGGTTGTCTTTTGTGTGATTGCTCAGCTTATCTACCCTCTTTAAAAACATGTGTTACCTTTGTAATAAAAGTGGATTGAGGAATATGCTTTCAAAATCCAAAGCAGACTTGAGGAACAGGCACTGTAGGCAGAAAGGAAACATAAGCAGGAATATGACAATGCCCCTCGGGTCGTAAGGAAGGCAGTAGGAAAAGAATTAAGAGTGCCCGTGTGGACCAGGCCTGTGCTGTGCATGGGTCTGGCTTCTGAGAGCTACCAAAGCCCAGACATAAATGGTGGAGCAGGGTCTGAGCAAGAGGGCTTATGGAAAAGTCAGAGATTTGAGCGGATGCTAACATTATCCATCACTGGTGTCTTACTGCCAGAGGAGCCAGTTAAATCTCACACTAACAAAAGTGTGATATTAGGATCCTATTGCATGCTATGTAAATCCTACCATACTTGAAATACTCGTTTTTATGTAAGTAGATTGTAGCAAAATCAGAAAAAAAAACTATTTAGAAACTTATAAAATTGAACAAAAAGCAGAACTTGCTGTCAGAGTGCTCCCCGGATGAAGGGACATTGGGACACAGAGGCTCATTCAGGGCAGGGCACGCACGAGACAGGGATCACTTTGCATGGGTCTGGGTCCTACACTGTATTAAATTGTATGTGTTATTTGACTTCATTTTGAACTTGGCCATGAACATGATTTGGTAGTTTGTAGGGTAACAAGTATTCAAGAATAACTAACATTTGTATAATATACCCTTCCCAATGTTTAGATGTTTGCAGTCTGCTGGGTTATTTTTTTTTTTTTTTTGGTGCATGTTTATATAATGTATGCTATTGTTTGCCTAAGTTTTTTCTTCTAATCTGTTTTAAAGTGGCGTGTTTGACTTGGCTTTTCTTGTGTTGTAGCACCTATGGAAGCACTGATTACTAAGGCCGTTTATATTCTCTTCTATAATACATTCAAATAAATACATAGCTATAAAAGAGCAGCAACTGTTTTGCATTTTCAGTGATTTCTGAAATTATCTTGCTTCCTTCCAGGGTGTCACAGGGTGCTCAACAATGTGAGTCATTGTCATTTACATGGCCATGTGGCCGTCAGTGCTTTGCTTGCTGTCCATGAACTAGAAGTAACAGTGCTTCCTAGGGCTGCTCCCATCATGAGATAAGCAGTATGAAAAGTTTTAAACTATCCAACAAGTCCAAATATGAGTGTCCTTTTCAAAATGATGTCCAAAAGTGCACAAGGACTTTGTTTAGCCTTCACATTGAATTTTGTTCTGTTTTACCCGTGACGTGGAATCCACTGTATCGTGGACTCTGATACAGTCTACAAGCACTTAGAAACTGAAGATCTGTCGATATCCAGAACAACCGATGCAGGTTTGCGCACTGTTATTGCTGAATCAAGAACTGAGTTGTCCATTTTATGCTCTCCCTAGTTCAGGACTTACTGTCCGAGGATCACGGATGCAGTCTCCCGGCTACTCCACAGTCCATCTCTGACCTCAAGTCTCTGGCCACAGCCCTGCTAGAGACAATCCACGAGAAGAACATGGTCATTCAGCATCAGAGGCAGACCAACAAGTGGGTGGCTGCGCCTTGCCATTGGGGTGGGAAGAGAAGAGGGAGACAGTCCCCTGATCTGGGGAGGGCTTCAGGCTTTGTGGGAACAAGGGCAGACTCTCGGATCCAGAAGGAAAGGACAGGTGTGAAGTGAGAGCTGTGCGTCTCACACTGCTTGATGCAGCCTCTTTCCTGCCAGCTGCAGTCAAGCCAGGACATCCCACCCAGAGACACCTGCAGACTGCCTCCCATGAGCCTGTGTGTTTTGTGGACTGTTTCTCTAGGATAACTGCCTGGGTGCCTTAGCCTACTGCTCCCTTAGCTCCCCTTGGAGGGCTAAGTGCTGCCTCAGTGCCAGGTGCTGTGTGCCCTGCACCCTGGCTCGAGGGGGTCTGATGGTGGGAACCACCCCAGCATTGACTTCCATGGGCAGCTGGGCCTGTCAGTGATCCTGACATCACTCAATGAATCAGCAATAAGCAGTCAGTGAAAAAGGAACAGTTCTTAAAACACGGTATCTTACAGGAGCTCTTACGTCAGCTCTGTTGTGTGAAATCTAATGGGTTCAGCAAAGATAAAGTAGCCATTAGAGATGAAAAAAAATTGAATTGAAAGTGTTCAGAGAATGATGAACAAACAATAAAGACACCAATATTGCATGCGGGGCTTGTTTCACCTGGCGAGACCGCACAGCTGTGCTAGTTCGGTCCCTCTTCCTCCTGTGATGAAGGCACTGTCAGCCATCAGGGATGCCCTACCCTGCTAAGCACCCAGCCCCCCGGCCGCTTCTGCTAAATACCTCCCAGAAGTCTGCCTTCAAATTCTGTGAAACTTGTGTATTTGGGAATTAAGTCTGTCACATGTGAGTTTCTTGATGGACACATTTTGAGGGCCAGCCTTATAGTTGTCTGATATTCTATTGTGAAGTTCTCGTTGATTTTCTTGCAACGGGGGTCCCATGCCTTCGTTTTGGGTGAGTGCCTACAAATTATGTAACTGGTCCTACTTTTAAAAAACTGCTCTGGAAAGCAAAATGAAAGTGTAGAAGAATGGAACAGCGGCCAAGAAGCTGAACTTAAAGCACAAAGAGGAGGAATCAGCGAATGGGGAGCTGGCAGAAGGGGCAGATGAGAGAGAGGCAGCTGGAGAGTGACTGAAAGTATTATGGAAACAAAACAGGAAGAAGAGAAGATGAATGAAGGGAGCATTGTCCAAAAGATGTATGTGGAAGCAAACAGGGGGCCGGCAAAGGAGGCTAAGCAATTCCCAAAGAATGACAGGGGGTGGGGTATTAACAGCAGTTTGCAATGTTCTTGGAAAATGCAGCAGCCAGATGTCAGGATGTGGCTGCTTCCAGTGCTGTCAGGATGCAGGAGAGGCAGTTGGTAGCTATGGGTGTCTGTGCCAGTAGCCCAGGTCTGTGTGATTCCAGCAGAGCCCCCAGTGGCATAGGGTATATGCCTTGTCCATCCCAGCTCCCTCTACAGCTGCCCTTCAGGGCTCCTGGGTTCTTTTTTCTAAAGATGGAGCTGTACTCATACGCAGCAGGTGACCTCAGCTCCTCACTTGCTGAGAAGGCCACAGCCCTGAAGCCTGGTGTCTTCCCCACCTCCTGTCCCCAGGAAAAATGCCAGTCAGCCATCTTCGCATTCCCACTGTCCTTCCTCCTACGTTGCTTCACCCATCTGAGACTCCTCTCCCCGTCTCTCTAACTTCCTCCCTTCCTCTCACTCCTGTTTCTCACCACTGAATCCCCAAAGCCTTCCCCACCCCCATCCTTTCTTTTCCTCTCTTCACAGACACCTGTCACCAGGTCACCTGTGGTAGAATGACACAGGAGCAGATCAGGGACATATGCAGGAGGGAAGGTCAGGCTCCTGGATTTTAGTAACCACAGGTGGGTCCACGCACAGCAGATAGATAACCTTAGCTTTCACACCCGCCTGGACCTCTTCAGGCCTTTGTGGCTGCAGTCTTTCTTTGAGCCACTTGCCAGTGTCTTCAGGCTCTACCTTCAAGTCTCTTTGTTCTGTAGTTCCTCTTTTGGTTTCAAGATGGGAACTTGAACTTTCTGAGTGACCTCATTTCCTTTCCCTGTCCCCCCCATCTCCCACCAAGGCCGGCATGGCCTCTTTTCTCTGTCTTTATTCTCAAGCTTCATTCCTTCTCTGCCTCTCATCCCTTGCACACTCTTCTCCAGTCTCTTGATGAGCTTCATCTCCATCTGTCAGGTTGAGTTTCTCCCAATATTCTTGTGGTTCCTCAAGTTCAACAAGTCCACAGCCTGGACCATCACTCATTCCTTAATTTTTAAAATGTTCATGCCCATTGACCCACGTGTTCTGCTTTTAGGAATTTATCCTCAAGAAAAAAAATCCAACTGATGCCCTAAGATGTATATACAGGGTCATCCGCTATGTTCTTTTATGTATGAGGGATTCATTTGTAAGAGTGAAGAAAACAGGAACCATGTAATTATCTTTTAATGGGAGAATGGTTAGAATGGTGGTAAATCTGTCTAATGGACTCTCATGCCATCATTCCAAGTATGCAGCATTTTTACTGGACTCTGCTCACTATCCTAACACCGGGGTTCCACTAACCACGCCACTACTGGGGCTAATCAGCCCCAGGGCCAGAGGCACTGTCCCTAATCACAGACACAGCTTTCTCCCAGTGCCTAGGGTGGTGCCAGCCCACAGTGGGCACTAATGAGAGTTCAGAGATGCTTCATTTATTTTTTTTAATACTTATTTTGTTCTTATTAGAATGACAGAGTTAACAGAGAGAAGGACAGACAGAGAGATCTTCTATCCCCTGGTTCACTCCCCAAATGGCTACAGTGCTGAAACTGAGCCAATTGGAAGTGAGAAGCCAGGAGCTTCTTTCCTGGTTCCCTACATCTATGCAGGGGCCCAAGAACCTGAGAAAAACTGTGCTGCCTTCCCATGCCACAGACAAGGAGCTGGATGGGAAGTAGAGCATCCAGGACATGAACCAGCACCCCTATGGGATGCTGGTGCTTCAGGCAGATTGGTCTCTCTATGCTACATGCTGGCTGCCTGAATTATCTTCTGATTCTGTGTTCCTGTTCCAGAGCACTCACTTACAAATGGCTGTTAGGTGGCAACTTCCTGCATCTGTTCTCTACTCTGCTTGTCTGGCGTGCTTGCCAAGGACTTCAGCAACCTCTCCTACTTGCCTCTGTCTTGTCTCAATCAGCTGCACCTTCAGAGTCCAGCCCACTTACCCACCTACACCTACCTGCCAACTGCAGATCTGAGCAATAGCCACGAGCAGAGCTGGGCTGGTCCCGGCTGCCCACCTGAGCAGCAGCCATGGGCTTCCGTGGGCTCCTCCCCTGCAGAGAACACAACCTCTGGGGACTGATTTGTTTTCTGGCCCATTCCTAGCTACTCCCACTGCAGATTCAACATTCCCTAGGCCCACTATTGAAAGAGTTGTTTTTGTTTGGTCTTATTTTTGTGTGTGTGCTTAACTTCAAAATAATAAAATAACTGTTGAAGCTTGTATGCTTAAAATTTTAAAAAAATTGAACAGCAACATGTCCCCAAAAACACTCTTCTCAATACTCAGAGTCCCTGAAAGAAACAGCCCTTCCTCATTTCTTATATGTCCTTCCAAAGAATGCAAATATAAGCAAATGCAAACTACAGGAGGACTTCATGGAGTTCATGGAAATGGAATTAGAAGACAAATTTATTTTGATGCAAACAATTTTGGAATCCATGCATAGATTTTTCATAATATGCATGTCAGTGGAGGCTCTGAAACATTTTCGTATTTATATAACATGTAAATATTCTTCTATTTACATATAAATGTATTTAATGGCAGCTAATATTTACCCCTTCATCAAAAAAGATTTTTTTCTCATTGTCATGCACCTTGCTTTTTTTCCCTTCTTGTAACAATAACTCTTGGAGACTGCTTCATATCAATAGATAGAATATCTAAAAGTGCTATTGGTAATACTTGGAAAGCCTTATATTCCTTGGTTTTAATATCTGTTTTTTTTAAAGCATTGTGTAAGGAAACTAAATATACTCTGAGTGGAGTAAGGACTGAGAACAGAGTGTGAATTTTATTTGCTTGTAGTTAGCCCTGTAGTTTTGTCTTTTGTTCATGAAATAATAGAACTTTGGGCAGAGCCCTGTAAATAGAAGAAAGGGATATTCCATTGGCAAGCATTTGCACCCCCTACTGGCCATGCACTGCCTAGCAAGCCCCCTCCCCCGAGGAGAAGGTCCAGTGGGGGCCATCTTGAAGATCTGATGAAAAAACCTATGACTTCCCATTTTGAGTGACATCCAGTTCTTAGGCAGTTTTCTTTGAGGGCCTCTTGCCAAAGTTGATAATTGTATGATTGTTGCTAAAGAAAGGGTGAGGTTCATCTGTCTTAGCTGGTGATGAAGAGTTAAGAGAGGAGTTAAGTTGGAGTTATGTTCCAGTGAACACCGTCTTCAGCCCTCCTGTCCTGCCAGCCAGCCATGGCCCTGCAGTGGTCGGCAACAAATGAATACAGGAACTGCCTTTCCCTTAAGGCCTCTCACACAGGATACCTGCTCTCTCTAGGGCAGATGCTGCTGTGGCCACTGTTTCAGTTAGCTCTGTCTTTGCAGATTCCTAACCCCAACCCCAGAGTTTCTGTGTAATCAGAACCCTCTGTTGGAAAGTCCATCTTAAGGGTTTTCTAGACTGCCAGGTGGACATAGGCTGAAATGTCGCCTCTGCTAAAACAATCCGAAGCTTGTTGTGAGGGACCAGTGGTTACGGTGACTTAGGGGACGCAACATGAGATTCATACATTTATTTGCTGACGTTAACCCTCTGCTGGCGCTGGGCATTCATGGATGTGTGCATTTGTGCATCTCTGTCTCCTACCAGACTTTGAGTCCCTCGAAGACAAGGACAGAGGAGGTACTTGACTAGCAGTTCTGTGCTGATTGAGACATCCTCTTCTGATGTCAGTCCTTGGGTTGAAGTCCCTGCTTGGCTCCCAGTTCCAGCTTCCTGCTAGTACAAACCCAAGGAGGTGGCTCAGGCAGTTGGACTCCTGCCACAATGTGGGAAAACTGGATTGGGATTCAGTCTCTTGGCTTTGGCTCCCACCCACATTTGATCACTGCAGGCATTTGGGGGAAAAACATTAGATGGGCTATCTCCTACCCTGCCCCATCCCATTCCACATCCCAAGTTAAATAAATAAATAAATAAATATGCTTTTTAAAAGATAAGTTAGCTTCTCTTTATTATTCCCCTCCAGGCTTCCCATGGAGGTAATCGCAGGGCTTGTTTGTCGAATTGGTCAAACTGAGTGCATGGGGTCCTGACCATATGTTTCTTCTCTTCTTCTTGTGTTGGCTGCCAGCCAGTAAGCCTCAGATAGCTACTTCTCTGTTCCTGGGCTCCCTGCACTAGGTTGGGTGGCCCCTACCATGCTCAATGAATGCAAAACACTTAAAGCATCTTGAGTTCTGTGATTAGGCACAACTGTGGCCTCATCCACACTTTAGTACAGTTCGAAACAAAGGCACAAGAAGGGAGATAAGCAGACTTGTTTATCAAGTGCTATTAAGGGATGCTGGTTGAGAGCTTCATTTTGGAGGCAGATGGAGGCCTGGGTTCAATTCTAGGCTCACCACCATCTGAATCTGAATCTAGCATGTGGTTTTGGTCAAGTTAATCTCTTACGTCTTTGTTTGCTACTGGGAAGATGGAGTGTGGTAGGTGAGATCCATGGGGGTTAGGAAAGGACAGAACTTTAAGATGCACTGTGTGTCCTTAGTCAGTCTGCCAAACTCTTCTGTTCATTATGGTCTCCGTGTATGAAAGAAGAGCAAGAATGTCACTGACACCACAGGGCTTTTGTCAGGTTAGATAAGACAGTGTAAGGCACACAGGGTTCAACATGGGCTCCGACTCGTACTGAGGACTCAGGGAAGCTGACTTGTTGTTAACGGAAATGCAGTTATCATTGTGGTTGATGGTGATATTGTCATTATTATCAGCACCTGTTCTTCTGTGTCTGTTTTACCATCTCCAGCCCCTATCACCTGCCAATGTCAGCCCAACGAAGCAGCAGCTGCCACTGAAAGACAGGCACCTTAAAAATCAATTGTTGAGATCAGCAGCAAATTGCAGCAAATTCATTTTTTTCCATCTCTAGAGCTATGGCCGTGTTTCCTAGCACCACCCAAAATGCCTCTTTGTCACCCCCAAACATTGCCCAGATCTCAGCCCCTTGCATTCATGCCAGAGTTAAGCCTTATCTTATGTTTCCAAGAGCAGCCAAACATGAATGATCTGATTTTGTTAAGAAACGGGCATCAACTCGAACACTGTTGCGATTGCATCTCAAGCCCATCAGCAGGTGAAAAAAGAAGCTTGGATCAGAAGGTCTGAGCAAAATATTGAAAGCAAGATTAGGAGGTATAGTGTCCTGTTGAAGGGTCAGGGATATGAAAGTAAAACAGAACCAGCAAATGGAGCAAAAATGGAAAGTCATTGATAAAGAATATGCAGAATGTTAAGACTTAAGAAGAAAAGCAAAGCTCTAAGTACCTGGGGGAGGAGAAAAAAGCCACATAGAGTAACGAGAATACTAATTAAGATGCTACAAGTCAATTCAGGTTAAACAAGAAAGACTGAAGCTTTGTATATGTGCAGATCTATACATATTCATGTCTCTGAGCATATGTGGGTGTGAGCAGCTACCTCTGGAATACAAAGAGAGGTGGGTGAAATTCTGGCATTCCAATTTATTCTGCTGAAAGCAATGAAAACTTTGCTCTTAAGGTGATTTGCAAATGGTTTTAGCACAGCAGAGTCAAGAAAATCCCTCAACGTAAAGACTGGTTTTTCAATTGCAGGCCAGTCAAAAGCGATTGAAGTTTTAGATGACTATCAAATAATTTTCCAAGTATATTTAATTTTCAACAGATTAAAGGTGGAGATTATGTGTCATCTCTGCATGCATGGAAGACAAAGTGAAGAACAGGGTCTCCAAAAATGCTCATTCCAAAAGTTACATATTCTGGGACAGTCACCTTGGAGTTATCATCTCCATGAGTTGACAGTTATGGAAAATGCTTTTGAAAAACTTGTTTTGTTTTCTGTAGACAAAACTACAAGTCATGAAAAAGAAAAGATTTGATTTAAACACCTTCCAAATAATTAATTGGCTAGATATCAAAGATAGGGATATCAGCAAGCTGCAGGTTGGGTCTATGTTGTTTCATCAACTCAAAGCAGCATTTCCAAGCAAGGCCACCCACCCTATTTGGCTGTTTCCAAAGATCACATCCACTCTCAATGCCAAGCTGAGGACACCAACATAGTTATGTTAGTGGTGAGCCATTTCCTCGGAGAAATTCCCCATGATGTTTTGGGCAGTGGAGGAATGATTGCTTCACCTTCCAAGTGAACTACCTGGAGGCAGTTGAGTCGCCTGAATGAAATCTTAATAATTTTATTCATCCACCTTGGTTTCCACTTTCATATGTGCTTTTGACACAGTGCATGTCATTTACACATAAACCCTCCATATTGAACATATGTTTTAAACCCCAAATCTTTTTCTATTTAGACACAAGGGGATTTTCCAGTAGTCATCCTATAGGCCTGAGAGTAATAGACATTTTATCATCATCTTTTCCCCTTTTCCAGAATCCTAGGGAATCGGGTAGCTGAGCTGGAGAAAAAATTAAGAACCTTGGAAGTTTCTGGTTTGTGGAGTCTCCCAGGTAAGCAGAACTTCATGACAATTGTTTTTTGGAGAAAATAAACTCTGAGATAGTTTGCAAAGAAGAATATACATTTCCCATGCCCTTTTAGTTGAAGATCAGCTCTCTAAAAAAAAAAAAATCTATGAAAGTTTCAAACTTGGAAACTATCTTTTTGGGGGAGGTAGAGAGAATCTGAAAAATGCCATGGATTTTCAAATTCTCCCATGTGGAATGATGAGTTTTTGCTCACCCATACTCTGAAATGTGTCTGTATTTCTTAACTTTTGTCAATGTAGTGAGTTATGTGATTTATTTTAATCTGCCTACCAGTATCTTATAAAGATTCACTCAATACCATCATTACTCCCAAAAATGAAAGTGCAACTATACAAAGATGTGTTCAATTTAATCATCAATCCCCAAAACGAATATGAGAACTTAGAAAGATTTGTGCAATTTAATCACCAGTCCTAAAATTGGATGTGAGGAGGTACAAAGGTTTGTTCAATTTAATCATCAGCACTAAGAATGGATATAAGAAGCAACAATTTGTCTAATTCAAATGTACATCACAGCCCCCTGCTCCTGCCTCAGAATGGCCTAGAGACATTTCTTTTAGTTATAAGGAATGTCTGATGTTTCACTGTAAATCTATTTTTCCAATTTGTCTTAATAAAAATACCCCTGTCAGCTGTCCCCCATCTTTCCACTCTTAGCATTTCCCCCACCTCCTCTTCCCCTGGACACAGAGTTGTGCATGTATTTTAGTCATGCAGCCTTTCTGCCCTGGTCTCCCTCCCCTTGCCTCATTTGGGCTGCTTCCCTATTATGTGTGAAAAATGACAATAGCCACAGGGAAGTGGACAATAACAAGTCTTCTTCAATGTAAACTTGCAGAGCTGCCTTCAGTCCTCCGCAAGTGTGTTTCATCAATCGGAATTTTTAACAGCGATTTCTTGAACTTGATGTCAAAGACCTGACAGAACTAATTAGTGGCAAGTGCCATCCTGGGGATTTGAATGAACCTTTTGATGCTGTTAAAACTTCATCTTTTATGAAGGCCTTTCCTTTATTGCATTGAATTTCAACTTAGTGGGGGTGAATTTATCATTTATTTGTACAGTCAGATTAGCATTTCTGTGCATGTACTAGAGCTTTTTTTTTTTTTTTTTTTGCCCCTCACAATGACTCAGTGAAAGTTCTCGATGTTTTATTTCTACAAGTTATACAAAGAGATGGAAGTTGAATGCTGAGAATTTGCTCTCTGGTGTGATTTAATCTAGAAGACACGTCAGATTGTACACTAACTGTGTTTCTTTCCTTCCTTCTGCTGCTGGAAGGCCTGAGCTACAATGTTTCCATAGGATTTGGGCGTATGTTCTATTTGAAATATCTGTCTCTGTGGCCAGGGCTTATGTTCTATTTGAAATATCTGTCTCTGTGGCCAGCATCAGTGGTGCAATAGATGACCCCTGCATGTAAATAAGAAGAAAGGCATGATCTATGTTCCCTTGAACTTTCTGGCTAGAAGAGTCAATTGAAATAGAGAATTCAATTAGTGCAGAGCAAATATTAGAAGGTAAAATTAGCTTGGAGTCCAGATCCATGGCCATGTTTATTCTGGTGTCTGGCTTTCACGTAGATAGAAAGAAGAGCATGTCGCCAGTCTGAACCCCTTTATGCAGCAGCAGGATTGCCATAGTGCAGTAAAGAATCCTGAGCTTTCCAAAATGGGGTGCAAAGGGCTGCGGTAGGGTGCTGAGAGCCTCTTCCTGTGTAAATCTGACCAGTCCCTTCTGCCTACTCATTGTCTGACATGCGTCTCCATTGGCCTCCTGAATGGTGGAGGGAGGAGTGTGTTCTCCCCTCCCCCACTCTGCAATCGCCCCTCTTCCTGTCCCTCGTAGGAGCCATGTCATGTGTTTATCCACCTGCCAGCGTCTCATATCTGCTAGAATCTCCAAAGAATCGCTTTCCCTTCTGATCTACCAGCCCACCAATGCACTGATACCTTTTTGAGCTTTTGGAATGCGGTGCTGCATTGGGTGTTCAAGTTGTGCCCCCTACCCTACAGACTATAGTCCAGCTAGGGAAGCAAGATACACATGCTTCAAACAGTCAGAGGAAAAGCACAAAGTGCTACATGACGCTGAGTAATAAACATGTCAGTATGTGAAGGAGGGATATGAAGAGTCAATGGACATTCCACCTAGAAGAATAGTTAAGAGCACAAAGTTCAAGGATGCCAAAGACTTGGCCTTTCCCTGTATGATAGCAAAGTGGTTGGGGAGGTTTCTCTCTTATTTCTCCAACCCTAGCTTGACCTAGAGTGAATGAAGCATGGCTTCTGTTCCCCTTCTTTGCATGCCAGATGCTTGAATTTCTGAAGTAGTCCAAGGTTCTTTGAGGTGCTCATGTAGAGTGGACAATGACTCTGGCTGGGCAGGGCAAGGAGATACTCTGCCCTAAGGATGGCTCATGACCTCAGGGCCTCTCTGAGGTTCCTCAGCTGTAGACAGCTCCCACCTCTGCCCATTGTGCTGATTCTTTGGCCACTGAGACAGAGGGGATTGAGAAAGTTGGTTAGAACACAGAGTAGTGGAGTGTGTCACCTCCTAAGTCCCACCTGCAAGCGAGAGATGGATGGGTTTAGAACACAGTCCTAACTTCAACCTGAAGACAGTGTTGTCTTGACAGAGACAAGTCAGAGAATTCACCATGGGAGTAGACATTTGGCCTACTGGTGAAGACAGCCCTGTCCCACTGAAGTACCTCCATTCAATGCCCGGCTCTGGCTCCTGACTTCAGATTTCTTCTAATGCAGAACTTGATCCTTTGAATGCATGATAACAACATAATGGGAGCCCTGGATTGTATCAACAGCTCTCAGATTTGGCACTGGCCAAGCCTTGTGTGTTGCAGGCACTCATGCAGTGAATGAGCACATGGGAGCTTACTGTGTCTCTCTTTTTCTGTCTCTGTGCCTTTCTAATAAATACCTCTTTGCTATCAATTCATGGCATTCAAAGCCTAGTCCCCACTAGTACATCAGGGTGCTTCCAGATGGTATCTTCACAGCACAGAGGGAGGCCTGATTGTGTTGACCTCGCTTTGAGAGGCTGAGCAGCTGGTCAGCAGTACTCTATGGGCAGCCTTTCCAGGCCGTGGCATGAAGACTCCCTTGGTAATACAGAACTCCAGGGTCAGCTCCTGTCAGATTGTACTCTGTATAAACTGTGGCTGCCAAGAGCACGCTCAGTCCACCCAAGGCAGCAGCAAGCACCATGCTTACCAAGCATCTGGAGTCCCAAGAATGTATCAACCCTGTATTGAGACATTTCATAAGTTCCTACCATGTGCCAAACCTCTTCCACAGTCTCAGAAACTAAGACGTGGTCGAGTAGGAAGACCAGAAGGAAGGACCTAGAAACACAGCGATGGAGTTGCATTGTGAGTTCACTTGCTTCTCCTTCCAAACAGTAGATATCTTTCCACACCTGCCATTCTGTGCTCAGCTGAACCAGAAACTGAGACTTGGTCTCACAAATTTAGCCAGAATCTTGCTCAAAGACAGACAGCTGCCCATTAAAAGAAGCAATCAATAGGGTGAAGAGACATCAGAGAGATTGGGAGAAAATATTTATAAGCTACTTTTCCAATGAAGAGCTGATACCCAGAATCTATAAGAACTCAAAAGCAAACAAGCAAGCAAACAAACAAACAAACAAACAAAACCCCTCAACAACAGAAACAGTCAATTCAGTTAAATGGGAACAGGACTTGAATACGTAGTTTTCAAAAGAAGTACAAATGGTGAACAACTGCATGTGGAGAAAGGGAACGTTTATGCACGGTTGGTGGGATGTAAGTTAGTGCACGACTGTGGAAAGCAGTACAGAGATTTGTTTGAAAATCGGAAAAGGACTTGTCATATGATCCAGCGAATCCATTATTAAGTATAAACTCAAAAGGCATTAACCCAGGTTGACAAAGAGATGCCATGTTCATCATAACCAAAATTATGAAACCAGTGAAGAGTCCATCATCAGATGAACAACACACCCCAATAGAATATTATTCATCCTTAAAAAGAATGCAATCCTGTCATTCACAAGAAAAAAAATGGATAAAGCTGGAGGACACTTTGTTGAGTGAAATAAACCAGTTGCAGAAAGATAAAAACTCCATGTTTCCCGTTACACATGGGAGCTAATTAAAAAAAAAAAATCATGATAACTGCTCAATCTGAGTACAGAAAGCTGATAACTAGAAACTAAGATGGACAAAGGGTTTGGATAGACATGGTAGGCAAATCTGGGTGTCATTTGATAATTATGTTGAAGAACTCATATTAGTAAGATGTTATGGGGGACACAGAGTGAGGAGTATATAGGAACTCTTTGTATTACTACCTCACAAGTTTTATTTTGAAAATTTACAGCTCTTCTGAGTTAAAACTCTTTTTTTTTTTTGGAAAGTGGTATAAATATCAAAACTTTAAAAAGAAGAAAAGACAAGACTAGGACTAGAATACAGACTGGGTCTCATTTGGGGTGTAAGGTATGGTTCTTCCCGCTGAGGGACTGCTAAGCCTCAGCTCGGGTTTCTGTCCCACATGTTGTGCCCTCAGGACCCTGGGGCAGCCTCTCTACGTCTCTGTGTTGTGTGCCTGTATCCATCCTGCTCATGTGTGAAAGCCACGCTGCCTAGTCCTCACCTCCACAACTAACTGTGGCCTCAAAACAGGATTAATATGCTTGTCCCTGCTTCTTCCTGTTCACTCCAAGCGTTCTCTATCCACTTGGGGAATTCATACTCATTAGGTAGAAGGGATTGGCTGGTGTGGGGCTGTATAGTCTAAGTGAAAATTCAACTAGGATAATTTGGGGACCTTTTCGCTACCCGTCTTATGTCAGAGTTATTGTTCAATCTAAATGACAAAGTGAAATTAAATTGGATACAATATCTATGGCAACATTTTGTGTGTGTGTTGACTAAACGCCTAAGCACTACAATTGAAGCAGTTCACTTTTATCTCATAACTACAGAACAGGGTAGCCACTATGAATCTGGCTCATTTGAGGATGAGGACGCTGAGACCCAGAGAGGCCAGGTGATAGTAGGCGATGGGGTCTTGAGTCCAGACACTATAGTGTGGCTCAAAGCCTGCCCTCCTAAAGCCTGCTACTGTTGGGCTGCTGTCATGTCACCCAGATCATAGCTACCCAGCTTTCAACCTGCACAGTTTCCCCTTAGCAGTGAGAGACACCCCTAAGCTAATGTTCCCGAATGACCCACGTCCATCTAGCACCGGGCCTCTCTGCCCTGTTCTTAGACTACCATACTTCCCTCACCACCACATACACAGTTTACCTTTTGCAGAAGATTCCATATTAGCCCACATAGCCAGTGGATGGCATGGGACCAGTGAACCCCAACTCCAGTAATGACAAAACCATTCCCTTTTTCATCACAGGAAGCAAGGACACCATACTCTTCAGTGACTCCACTCTTCCTACCAGACAGAGGTCGAGGTCCCCCCTGCTCAAGTTTGAACCACCTGGCAACAACAAGGCCAGTGTCAAGGATGGTGAGTATCCCCATGTTTGCCCAACTTTCCTGATACGGGCATGGGGCGCAGTGGAAATCAGTCAGTCCCCCTTCTGCAGCCTCTGGAGCATGTGACCCTCACATGTCCTCTTGCTGCTTCTGTACATCCATCTAGGTGGGAGGTTATGGCAGGTCCCTGCATTCTGAGTGTGATGACATATGGAGAAGGTAGGAAGGAGGGCTTGGGTTGAATGACTTGGGTTCATATGTCAGCACCATGTCATGGATATAAGAACTGGTCTCATGATTCAGCCTTAGTTTCCTATCCAGAAAAGCAGTGACAAGATGGAGACGACTTCAGGGAAGTTTCTGGTATGTTACCTGGAACATGGCAGGTGGTTTGGAAACCAGCAGAATGGAGATACAGCTTCTCTTCTGCCAGGCAGGTGGTCCTGGGAGTGAAGAGTTCAGTAAGGGACCCATGCAGAGTCTCCTCTCAGATGTCAGTTTTCCTTGACGTCTTTCACAGTTCTGCTTCTCTTCTTCCTCCACTCTCAGGGTGCTAGGCCGCTTCCAGGACAACACCAAGTGATTCAAGCCCTTATGTGGTTCCCTCCTGCCTTGTAGCAGCATTGGTCTGTGTGATTTCTCCATCAGCCATGTGTGTTACCATCTAGATGGCAGATGCTCCAGCACCAGCCAGGCCTTCAGATCACTGTTGTCCTATCCATATTTGGATGAGAACCTCATGAGAAGCCGTGAACCAGAAATGTCCAGCCAAACTGTTCCCAGACTCCCAGACTGCCACTTGACTTCAAGCAGTAGATAATGTACTCCACATGGGACTACCAAGGGCCTGTATTTACTCCCCATTTATCTATATTTTATTTAGTATTTTCATTTTATTTGAAATACATATAGAGAGAAATTTCCCATCCTCTGGCTTCCTCCCCAAATGCCAGCAACAACCAAGGCTATACTGGGCCAAAGCCAGGAGCCCGGATATTCTATGTATTCTGTAGGTAAAACATCAACTTTTTCTGTCTGCTCCCCTTTTTGTTACCCTTTTGGCTACTCAGGATTCACTGGTCATTGTCATCTTCACTTTCTCAGCAACGTTTAGTTGCGCCAGGCTCTTTCTGTAGGATTTCTTGCACCTTAGTCACTCCTGCCTCTCGCTTGGTGGAAGGGTAAGGGCTTCCTTCCTTGGATTCCTGCCCCTAGACTCTTCTTGCCACCATTCTTGCTACCGGGGGAGAGAGCTTCTGGAGTTTACCATCATGTTTGGACACTACTCAAAAATCCTCAGTAGCTCTCCACTGTCTTTGGCTTAAAATCTCAATTCTGCAGCCTTTCTAGTTTCATGATTTTCTGACCTAAAAGCTGTGCTTTTATCAAAATGGACTAGCCAGCTGCAACCGTCAGCTCTTATTGTGTAACAAACTACCTCAATCTTAGAACTTCAAGTCCTGCTGATGGAGTATTTAACATGAGCTTTGAGTCACATGGGCTGATCTGCTGCTCTGAGCTGGGCTGAGCCAGGCTTACTCATGCCTCTATACAGCTATGGGTTTTCTTTAAAGGTTGATTGATTGATTGATTTACTGATTGATTGATTGGAAACAGAACAAGAATCAAGGAAGGAGCAAGAGAGGGAAACAGAGAGAGTAGGGAGAGAGAAGTTGTCCTATCTGTTGGTTCATTCCCCAATTGACTACAACAGCCAAGACTGGGCTAGGCCAAAGCCAGAAGCTGGGAACTCCATCCTAGTCTCCCGCATGGGTGACAGGCACCCAAGCACTATCTTCTGCTGCTTTCCCACATGTATTATCAAGGAACCGGATCAGAAGCAGAGAAACTGGAACTCAAACTAATGATCCAACATGTGGTGCTGTGTCCTAGGAGGCAGTCAATCTACTGTACCACAAAACCAGTCTCTATACAACTGTATTTGAAACCTGTTCAAACCATTGATAAACGTGTATCTATAGGCCAGCATTATAGCACAGTAGATAAAGCTACCATATACAGAACCAGCATCTCATATGTTTGTCAGTATGAGTCTCAGCTGCTCCACGTCTGATCTAGCTCCTTGTTCGTGGCCTGGGAAATACAGCAGAGGATGATCCAAGGACTTGGTGCCCTGCTACCCATATGAAAGACCCGGATGAAGCTCCTGGCCTCAGCTGCTACAGCCAACTAGGGAATGAGCAGGTGGAAGATGTCCATCTCTCTCTGTGAACTCTGAGTTTCAAATAAATTCATGAGAAAGAAACAAACACACGCAAAAGAGTGCATGAAATGATAGGAGTCACAACCAGAGCATGGACATGTGTGGGATTTCAACAGAAGGGTTCCCCAAGAACATGTTGGAGGAAGTCCTGGAGAGAATCCTGACACTAGAAGGCCCTCCCTTGGCCAGGAAACAAGGTGGGGTTTTTGCAGCCCTCAGCATGTGCCCACTGTGTGACTTGGAGCATGTCTAAGCTGCTGGGCTCCCCTTGCTAGCATCCATTGTCCTGTCCCCTTGGAGATCCACTGTCCTGCTGCTGTGGGGCTGCCCTGCCCTTTATGTGTTTGGGGTTCCTGGAGCCCAGGGCTGTGCCTGGAACTGCTGCAATGGAACCATGGAGTATGTGCCCTCCTTTTAACACAGGCAGCATCAGTAATGGAGTCATTCAAAATGATAGCTTCCAGACTTCCATCATTAGCTCTCATTGTTCCAATCCGTCCTTCAGCAGCTCTGGGTGGGAACAAGGACGCATTTATGCAGTGCTGTCAGCATCAGGACAGCCTCATCACCATGGCAGCTCTGATGAATTCCAGAGGAAAGCTAGAAAGCAGAGGATAAAGCCCATCAGGGATTGTGGCACAAAGGCAGGCCAATGTCCCTTGAGGGCCAAAGGAGGGCGTCCCACATTTTTAGGGGCCCAGCAATCTCTCCCCCGCCCAAGCAGCACTGTTTCTTAGTATTTCAGAGAAAATAGTTTTTCTTTCCACAGTTTGTGTCATCGGCCGACTGCCTCATCATTACTGATATGTGCATTGTGATTAAGTATTAATGATGCTAATTGTTTGCTAAAACAGCACAGGGTAATTACTATTATTTGTGATAATATTTTCCTGCTCTTCACTAGCTCAGAATTCCTTTGTGGAGACAGTAGTGCTGTGTGTCTGATCTTCTAGGAAAAATAAAACTCCCACATTATGAAGAATTAAAGTTCTGGAATCATAGAGCTAAGGGGGATTTTACTGACAACAGCAAGTCTCCTGAAGTCCTCGGAAACAGTTGTGGTACCTGCAGTAATTTCTGCCTCCCAATCATGGCTGGAGGATCCTCTTTGTGTATCTTTTGGTCAAGCATGAGAGGAGAACTGGTTCATGCATCCTGTTGTTAGTCCATGATCCATTCATTCCCAGAGCCTAACTCCAATATCTTTATCTTGTGGCTCCGAAAATCTGTGGCTTCTCGGTAAAAGTCAAGGCCCGGGAGGACTAAGTAACATTACCACCCTGTTCCTTCATTCCCTTGTTGAGGATGACAGCAAGGTGGTTCCTCCCACCCCGACAGTGTTGGAGTTCTCCTTGGTAATCTCAGAACTTTGCCATCTTAAAAAAAATTCACAGTTGGACACAAGTGGAATGTCACCCAAAGAAATGGCACACGGCAAAATACCAGCGACCAAAAGGCCCCAGTGTAATTTAAACCACGCTCGCTTAGATGTAAATTAAGGTAGAGAAGATTAACCTGACCCACAGTAAAAACACACCACAAATGGTTTAGGGGTTAGATTGTTATGGGTAAGGTTAATTAATTTTTCAGGGGCACCAGAATACACTATTAAGTGTCCTGGAAGAAGTCATTTCATAAGAATAATTTCTGGAAGGAGTTTATTCATCTCATGTGGGTGAAAAATTTAGCTGCAGGAGGCACTGTAATTTACTCGTGTTGAATCAAGGCTTGCCACGATGCTGGAACCCTGCTTATTCTGACTTACTTTCCCGTGTCCTCTATAAAACCAATATAAAAATGCTCATCTATTACGATGACAATTATGTGGCTGTTCTCTGAGCTACGTTAGATATTACTAAATGTTTGTGGAGTTAGAAATTACCATTCTTCTGTTACAGCTTTTAGAATAGCAACCTGAATACAACCTGTTTTGACTGCTATCAACTTCAGAATTATTTCATATATTAATGCATGGTATTTAAACATTGTGCCAATATATTGCTTTTATTCATGCATTCCAGGCCATATGTTCAAATATTCAATAAGCTTGTGAGCTCTCACTGTCAAACACTGACACAATTGAAAAATTAGGCAAAATATTGTACTTGAGGTAGTTATAAGTAACCATGCATTATGGGGACAGTAAGATAAGACAGCACTGAGTTTCCTGTTATGGCCAGATAGAGCTCAAGGGAACTCACACGCTGGCAGTATTACTTGTAGTAATCCAATAGGGAAGGAGATGGAAGCTGACTCCCTCATAGAGAATGATGGTCATGAAGGAGTTGGCCACCTAAGCAAAGGCATTGGGATAAGCATGGGGTACCCAAAAAAGCTGAGTATGGCTGGAATGTGGAGCTACAAGGAGAATTTGGGATGTCAGGTGGAGAGGGAATGGGATTATAAACCTGGGTTTGTCCTCCAGTCTCTGAAGATTTTGTAGCTGGAGAAAGGTCTTATGAGAATGATGCTTCAAGCTCAGTGTTTTTCAAACTGGAAGATGAAGCCATGTGACCTGGGAGCGAACTGAAATACAAATTCTAAGCAAGTCAGTCTGGGATGGGGAGGGCCTCAGCTTCTGGACAAGTAACAAGCCAGGGAGATGCTACTGCTGGTCTATGGACTCCACAGTGAGACCACAGCTTTAGGGAAGAGTTGAAAGCTATACCTGGGTGAGAGCCAGAGACCAGAGGTAAAGGAGCCTGGGGGAGACAAGCGTCCTGTGTGGCAGATCTGGGTAGGCTGAGGTTAAGTACTCAGGCTGACTGTACTCCCTCAGTTGCACACTCCTGCACCTCGCTGCAGGCACAGGCAGTGAGCTCACATTCAGATACAGTTCTGAAGCCAGTTAATGCCAGGAAAGCATCATGATATGGTCTGTGACCACACCCACGCTTCTGAAGTCTGGTCAGACGTTCATCCTAGGGTGTTGTCTGTGGTGATCAGGGAGGAGATGAGAGGAGGACATGAAAAGCAAATGAGATGGCCTACCACTGGGGAAGGCCCACCTGAGGGCCACGAGGACACGTGCCTCAGGGTGTTAGGGGCATGACCCAGGGCTGGCTCAGGTGACACCCACACTGCTCTTCCCCATGACTCCAGTGTGTCTGTCAGCAGTTAATCCCTCTGCCTTGCCTCCTCCCCACCTCTCTTCGTTTGACGGTTGGATCTCAGTTTTGTTGCCCATCTAATGTCAATATTTCATCTCTACTGGAGTTTTCTCAGAGGGTTTTTGTTGTTGTTTTCTTTTTCAGAAAAAAAGACTTAGTTTATTTCAAAGTCAAAGTTACAGAAAGAGGGAGAAAGAGACAATGATATCTTTCACTTACTGCTTCATTCCCCAAATGGCCAAAATGGTTAAGGGCTGGGCAGAAGCCAGGAGCCAGGAGCTTATTTTGGTGTCCCACATGGGTGCAGGAGCCCAAGCACTTAAGCCATCCTCCACTGCTTTCCAAGGCACTCAATCAGGGAGCTGGATCAGAAGCAGAGCAGCCGGGTCTCGGACAAAGCCCATATGGAGTGCCTGCACTGCCGCCATGGGGCCAGCCCTGCTGCATTTTTAACTAGACTTCAGCCATACAAAATGTTTGACACATAGGAAGTACACATATAGGTGCAGGGTGGTATTTTAATACCTGTTACATAGGATTACATCTGGACAATTGGCATATTGCCTCATCCAAGAGCTTTATTATTTCTTCCTGTTAAGAACATTCCAAATCTTCTATCTTGGCTATTTTAAAATCAACAAGTAAATGTCAGCCATAAAGCCACTTTTAAGTTTCTTAAAACTTTAAATACTTGATTAGGGGGAAAAAAAACTGTTTAAAAAACATGTTATTTAATTAAAGAAAGAAAATGTTTAAATCCCATGCTAGTCATATAAATAAATACTTGTATACACTGTATTAAAACAAGAAAGGATCACAAATGCAATAATGTTACATAGTGCAGAATTGCTAAGCTACATTTTAATTAAGACTTTAGATTATATCTACTTTTTACATTATGAAAGTATTTAACTTCAAACAAATATCTAACCAGGGACTCCGATTTTTGTGTTTTGAAATAATCTTTCCAAACTCATATTTAATTCTCACAACCGTCACCTGCCAGGATCTGGATTTCAGCAATATCTGGCATGGCTTGCATTTGCCTTCAGGTTGCTCTGGTAATGATAAAAGTCAGCCAGCTAAAGCTTGGGGAACTGTCTCAGTCTTCAATACCCAAACTGTGACTGGCACCTGGCAGGAAGAGTGGGCAGATAAAGCATCATCTGGGTGTGCTTTGACACAACACCAGAGACAGGGTGCCTTCAACAGCCTTGCTGCTCCCAGTTCTAGAGCACGGGAAGTCCAACATCCAGCTAGAACCCTCATCCAGGTTCGCAACGGCTGCTGCCTCATGTGGTCTCACATGGCAGAGACAGAGCTGACCTCATGTGACAAGCTGTGGTCTGAATGAAGACACAGAAATAATAATGTATAAAGTTACCTTCAGACCGGGCGTCTGTCTATAGTATTTGTGAAACATAAATGGATTTCATAGTTCAACTTGGACTCCCTCCCTCAGATACCCCCTTGTGTATATGCAAATAGTGCAACATTCAACAACATTCAAACAGTGCTATATCTGACAACCTGAGACCCTTTTGGTCCAAGTGATATTGAACTTGTACCTCTGGAGAAAACTTTAGTCATCTGTTTTGCCCTGATCCTCTCTAAGTTTCTTCCCCTAAGCATTGCTGTGATGAACATCTGGGATGTGTATCTTAAAATATTTGGGCTGACAGATGTAGGTGAATTCCTAATTATGGAATTATGGCATGAAAAAAGAGTTTTGCTAATTCTTATTCTCCTTTTTAAAAAGAGTTCTTATTTATTTAAAAATCTACTTACTTATATGAAAGGTGGAATGAAAGAGAGAGAAAAAGAGATCTTCCATCCATTGGTTCACTCTCAAAATGCCTGCATCAGCCAGGGTTAGGCCAGGCTGGAGCCAGAAAGCGGTTAGTATATCCGGGTCTCCTATGTGTGTTACAGAGACCCATATGCGTGAGCCATCGACAGACACGCCAGCAGGAAACTGGACTGGAAACATGAAGTAGCTGGAGCTAGACCAGGTACTCCTACACTGGGTGTGAGCATGCCACGCTAATCCATTGAGGTGCAATGCCAAACCCGTTGTTCTCTCTGCGAATGAGTGGTTCTGTCTGTTCTCCTGCACCCTCAGGAACACTGAGCTTTGTCTCACCTTTTAATTCTTGCTAGTCTGAGATGAATACAGCATCTCATTGTGATTTGGGGTATTTTAATAATGAGAGATGTTATGAATTAATTCTTGTTTTTGATCCATTTGTATTTCTTTCGCTGTGAACTACCTATTTTCACTTGACATTTAGGTGTTTGTTCAACATTGTGGTGAATGCAAATTTATGAATCTATACATAATGTGAGTAAGTCTCATAAACGTTTTGTGGATCAAAAGGAATGAAATACAAGCAAGAATTTGCATAGTAAGAGTACTGAAAAAGTTAAAAAATGAATTATTTGTCCACATCTTCTATCAAAATGCCTGAGTTTGAGTCCCAGCTCCGCTTCCAATCCAGCTTCCTGCCAATCCAGACACTGGGAGGCAACAGGTGATAGCTTGAGTCCTCTGGTCTGTGTCATCCACAAGGGAGATTCAGGTTTTGTTCCAGATTCCTGGTGTCAGCCCCTGGCCAAAGGCTATCGAGGCCATGTGAGAGCTGAACCAGCAGATGGAAACATATTCACTTATTCTTTCTCTTAAATGAATGTTTTAATGAGGTGAAATAATTACAGTGAAGAGAGTGGTTACCCTTGGTAGAAGGAAAGGGGGACTGTGAAGTGTATGTGGAGTTTGGTACTATTGTATTTCTCATTCTAATTGCTATTTATTGTGAGTGTTTTCACTGTGTGGAACTGCATGGAGTTCACACAAAGTATAAAGAACTCTCTCTATGTTGTACTTCCATTAAAAAAAGAATCGTAAGACATCATTGTTTGAATATGGTTGAATTCTTAGAATGTGCAAGACACAGTGTTAGCAGTGGACTTCTGTTTAGACAAGAGGTGAACAGAACCCTGTGTGTGGAGGCCTGAAGGGCTGTGTCAGCTATCTATATGGGAGGCTGGGAGGAGCAGGAGTGGATCAGCAAAATTAGAGAAGACTCTGGCGCTGTCTCAGGCAGGAAGATGTAACCAGTACAGGCTCTGGGTCCTGTCCAGTCATCCCATAGGTCTGCAATCTGATTACCTTGTGCTATTACCCTATTATAGTGGCCCCTCTGGGGATACCAGGAAGTGTATTCAAGGTTTTCCCAATCCTAGACCCGGACCTATACCCAGTCTACAATCAACCTAATGGCTTGGCCTCAGGGCCAGGAACAGATTGGCTTCTGGGGAAACTTAGCGAGTGGCATGGCATGCCTACATGCAAGCACTCGGAGTTCACTCCTCCGGCCTGCTCAGCTGTGATGCAGAGCTACCACTATCGGGAGATCTGGGGGAGACTCCAGCTAGGTCATCCTGATCCCAAAGCCCACGGGAGGGAAAAGGGGATCGGAACCCGGCCCTCCATGCCAGAGCTCTCCCACTGCCTTTCGGAGGCAGCACAGGCATTTCTGTTTATAAGGAAGGGATTTGAGGTTGGGGCATGGGAGCTTGATACTACCTTGCATACCGTGCTTCACTTGAACTTGCAACATTCACTTTCTGTATCCGAGAGTGACACACTGATGGTTGAGAAGAGGGGATGGATGGCACAAATTCTTCCTACATTGTCCGTTTGTGTCCCACCCTGAAGGAAGCCAGAACCTTCATTTTTATTAAAGAAACTCAGGTCTTCCCCAGGCTGCAAAACCTGATCCTCTGTTTCAGTCTTTCATGGACACAAGGAGCAGCATCAGAGATAGAAACGGGGGATTTGGTAGATGCTTGCAAAGTCCTGGTTTGGATGATGGCTTGACTGTTCCTTCCCAGATTAGTGACTCACAGTCACTTAGAGACCTGGCTTGCTCCTACCTTTTGGTCCTCTGGTACTCTGGGCCACGGTGCCCTCTACAGCGTTGAGTGCCTCTCTCGGGGCAGGTACCATGCCCACAGGCTGGGTGGAAGGCCAGCAGCTGATTGAGCTGCAGGAATCCCATGTTGTCTTTGTTCTGTTTGCAGGGGAAGCTTCCAAGCAAAGAGACGAAAACTGTGTGGCTGTTTCCGAGGGATTGACAGTGCCTAAGGATGCTGAGAGACCCACTGTGGACTCCCCTGCAAACCAGAGCCCCGGAAGCCAGTGCAAGTACCTACAACCTGCCTTGCCTCCATTCCCTTCTGAGCAGGAAGAAGGAAACAAGATGGGAATGGAGCTCATAAAACTGGCACAGGGACAGGTAACCTCAGAAGCAGACGGGATCAGCAGAGAGCAGCCCACGGAGATGCAGAGGAATGAGCCTGGGCCAACCTCCCCTGGTGACACCAACAGTGGAGAGCTCCTTACCTGTTGTTCAGACATCCCGGAGTGCAGCCAGCCAGCAGTGGAAGCTGCTCCTCCAGAAGACAGCCTGAGACACCTAGAGGGTGGAGGCACATGAAGGCCTGAGGGAGTGGAGACACTGGCATGTTGAGGGCACCAGGGGCAGGAAGGGAATGATGAAACATCACAGGTACACGGCTCATGCCACTGTCTTCTGAAACAGCCGCGAGCCTGCAGGTGAGAGAAGCTCCGGGCCCCTCGTGAACTGTGAATGTCCTGAGGATGGCTGAAGGGTCTGAGTTATTAAATGTGGGACCTTGAGCTTCTTGGTATTGTCTTTCTGTGGAAGCTGCATGACCCTCGTGTCTGCCACGTGGTCCTTCTCAGCAGCTGTCTTTTCAGCAGCATTTGTTTCGTTGGAGATATGATGTTTTCCTGTTAGCACTTGATGTTGGCCAGCAGAGTGAACGGAAGAGCTGGTGAGGGGCGGGGTAGGTGGTGGCAGACAAAGGTGTCACCGAACACAGCATGGCTGTGGGGCCCCTGCCAGGCTTCAACATGTCAGGACCGCCACATGGGTGTTCCTGGCATGCCGCCTGCAGCCTTGTCTGTCAAGGTGCAACTGGCAGGTGAGAAGGGACTAGAGGTCTGAGGCACTTGGGCTGCCATGTGTGATCCACAGCCCCTGTTGAGGTCTGGCTGCTGACTGCTGGGGCTGAGCTTTCCAGCCTGTAGCTGGGAACACTCATTGATCTGAAATGCTGGTGGTGGGGCAAGAGGACGCCCCGGCGACAGTGGCAGCAGCAGTGACAGCCTTCTGGCTCTTTTTATCTGAGCAGTGGTGAGAGATCCAGCCCAAGTGCTGTTTAGAGCTCTTTCAGTCTGAGGAATAAGCTAGCTGCTTGGGGCTGGTCCAGTTTCCCAGATCATTTGAAATTTCAAAACTTTGGCCCCCTCTGTACCATGTTAAGGGTGCCCCCCTTTGTACCCAAGGGACTGGGATTTTGAAAATTAAATGCAGAGCTCTGAGGCTCCGTAGGGAGAAGAGAGAGGAAAACTAAAATTGTTCCAGCCTAGTGGCTGGGACAGTGGAACCAAGAGCAAGGCTGGGGATGGGAGGATGGGGAGAGCAGTCCTCCTTGGCTTTTCCTTGGGGGTTGAAATGAGCTTTGATGGGAAGCATTTGGGGCTGGAGAAGCGGACAAAGCATGGCCCTTTCTCAGAGCTGAACTCAGTTCTCACCCTGCCCGCTCCCTGATGGCCCGAAGCCTAATGGCAGGGCACACAGCACAGATCTCTACTTTGAGAAGGGTAGTGAGGCCAAAAGTCATTCTAGAAGCCCCATGTCAGTACCAGGCTTGTGATCCAAGGCATGGCACCCGTCTGTGAGTGCCGGCCATCCGGGAGAAAGTTTCTTGCTAGTTTGCACTTTTTGGCTTCAACTCTGCTGGGAGAATGGGAGCCGAGTCAGACCTTGTGTTGCCTCACTCCAAGCAAAGGCACACATAGACCAGGAGGGCCCTGTCCAGATGGGTGGCTTCCCAGCTGCCTTCTTCCCACTCACCCAGGTCACGCCCTGGCAGAATGGGAATCTGGGCACCATTACCCCTGGCAAGAACACACCAACCTCCTGACCACCGTCCCCAAGGCTCCTTCTCCCTGGCAGCCTGTCTCCTGCCCACGCCCACTGTTTCCCTGCAGGGGAGGTCACTTCTGCAGCTGCGGAGCTTACTGGGGCCAGCAGGCACAGAAAGGAATTTCCTGTTGGACTGGCTCTTAAAGTGGCTGCAAATGTTCAGCCCCACTGCCTAGGACTACAAAGCCACCAAAGGAAAACAGATGTAAATGAGATACATGGAGAGACAAAAGAAAAGCTCCTGCCCCCACCCTGCCCCTGCCAAAGCCCTAGTTTTGACACACAATCAGCCAGGCTCATCCATCCCCTCCTAAGCTGTGAGTCCCAGACAGGTGAGGTTCAAAGGTCAATTTTGTGAGTGCAGTCAGTTTTGGAGGATGAGGGTGGGGAGGTCTTGTAGCATTAAATGGAACAGGAGCCAATGAATTGATCTTAGCACATGTGTAGCCATGACAGCATCCCATGCACAGAAGTGACACACTCCCACCTTTGCTAGTCCCACTCAGTGACTGGTTCCTCTGTTCCTCAAACATTAGAGTTTTAGTAATGACTTGAGCGACAGCATGTTGTATGCCTTCCCTCCCCTGCTGTCACCAGATCACACCACATCCACTGTGGTGCTCGCAGCTCCAAGCTGTCCTTACAAATATATAGGAAGATGAACTCTATTGCAGGAATTCCAGGGCTGGTTCATCCAAAAACTGAGTATTGGCCTTGCTCCACCCGCTACGCCCTCACGATAACAAGGGTTTAGATTCATCCAGGTTGACTCTGCCTGGAGGAAGGGACCATCCTGGACATGCAGTCTCAAAATTCATGTCTGGGGAATGATAGGAAAGTGGGGAGTAGACGTGGATTTGATCAGGCCACCAACTGTATTGTCTTCCTACACACCACATCTTCTTTTAAAGAGCAGGAACTGCAAGTGACTGATGAGTTTAGAGTTGCGGGGAGGGGCAGCCATTGGGTTGACTAAACTCCCATCCCCCTCCCTGGGTCCTTGGGTCCCTGGCTCCCTGGCTCCCTCAGGACAGCTCTGCTTTGTGGATGGGATGTCCCCACCTCCCTTTGCCTCTTCAAATGGGTTTGTCTTTTTCCAGCTCACTTGCCAGTGGAATGCAGAACAGTCTTGAAAAATGAAGCAGAGCTGACAGGTCTCTTAGTGAAGGCTTGTTTGCTCACTCTGCATTTCCTGTGATTGCTCTATTCCTTTGCGCTTCTAAGTGTGGATTTTGTATCTAACAGTGTGTCTTCCCTGTAACTAAGGCCTGTGAAAATGGATTGGGGTTTGTAAAACTGGGCATTTCTCATTCCTGATTCCTTTTTCCATGTCTCCCCTGCTCACCATTCTTTCCCCATCCTACCTCCTGCAGTTCCCATAGCTATTGTCAGAGGTCAGAGGTCATGGGGCCTGGGAGGCTCCTAATGCTGACCAGCTGCCTCCCGGCTGGAGCCTCTTCTTGACTGCCAACCTGCACCTCTGTTAGTGGAGTTTGCCAGTCAGTGTGCTGCCTTTGTAGCCTCACTTCTAAACATGTACTGCATCCCCATGCACACATCTAGACAGGGCTCTCCTATTAGCTGTTCCCTGTGTAGAAGTACATTTCTGTTGTGTTACTCCTCCTGGGTGTATTTGCACCCAAGTTCATTACACGGTGCGCCAAGTTCAGTCTCTTCTATAAGAAACTTTAAAGACCAGCTTCTTGCTCACTGAGGTCCCTTGAAAACGACAGCATGAATCAGTCATTTGGCCTGGTGGTAAAGAAGACAATTGAGGTGCAACATGTCGCACATCGGAATGCCTGGATGTGAATTCCAGCTTCCTGCTAATGGAAGGAGATGGCAGGTGAAGACCCAAGGGATTGGGTTCCTGATATCCAGGTGGGAAACCTGAATAGGATGCCTGGCTGTTGGTTTTGGTCCCAGCCCAGCCTCCGCTGTTTCAAGTGTTTGGGGAATGAACCAGTGGCTAGGATCTCCCCCTCCCTCTGCCACTCAAAAGTAAATAAATAAATAAATAAAATGACAGCATGGCTGCGCCCTCTTATTTGCCCCTCTGATAACTGGAAGCCCTCCCTCCCGGCATCACCATGCTTCTGTAGCCTAGTGGATGCCTTGGTACCCAACTTCTCTTTGAAAGAAGTCACTATTTAAGCACCTGCTCGCCCCCCCCCCCACTTGCATTCTGGAATACTGCATTGGAAATGGTCCTCCTCCTTCCTAAAGGGTGACGACACCTTCAGATGGCTCCAGGTGAGATGTCAAAAAGTCAAAGCGTAGCCCCCAGCTCACTACTTTAATATAGTCCTGTTTCCCCCGGCTGTCTTTCTGAACAGAGAAAAATGTGAAGATCAGGGAGCTGCAGTTGGGAGCTCAGAAGTGAATCTAATTAGAAAGAGAAGCAGAAAAACTAAGAAGGTTCATCTCTCGATATTACAGCTGCTCACAAAAGCAAAACAAAACAAGTGGATACAGCATGGAGGCAATTTAAACTGATGGCTGGAGCTGTGCTGCTTGGCATTTTCATTTTGCCTCTTTTCCTTTTAGAACCATAGGGGAAGTTTGCATCACACTTGAAAGTTGGTAGGATTTATGTGTTATGGGAGCTTGGCTGTGGCCAGTGATGACCTATATTGGCTTTAAAAAGAAAAAAATAAAGCTGCTGTTTTATGGTTTTATTGAAAGGAAGAAGTAACTTGTAGTCATTTGCAGACTTTGCTGTCTTGGATTCTAGCATCATCACGCATCATTGCTGTATCATTTTGTTACCGGAAATAAAATTTTTGATCATTTTCCTGATAGAGATGACGAACACCTTTACTATCTGCACTGTTCTCCCTCCCACCCTCCGGCAGGCCAAATGTGAACCAAGCATTGGCTTGTAGCATCTTGCAGCTTTGAAGCAGTTACAATATGTCACCTCAAGTCATTTTATCACATGGAAGTCTTGAAAAACGCAGAGAATGTAAAGATTTTATGCATTCAGTAAAAAAAGAAAAAACCAGATCTAAAATCAGTTGGTTTATTTCCTGCAATCTCTGGAGTTGACCAAAGCACCACTGATTTGCTCTATTTTCTTACATTTTTAGTATTTCTGTACGTATGCACTAAAAAGCACCACTTGGAGGGGAAAAAAATTGCTGCAATTCTGAGAAAAAGCTTATCCTAAACATCTAAAGATAGCATTTCTAATTATTATCTACATTGTGTTTAAACTATGCAAAGTTGAGCATTATTCTCACTTTACCAGCTGTGTCTAGGTAGAGTCATTACTTCAAACACTTCTAATTTTACAAAAAAATCAAAACAAGTGTGTGTTTAAGTCCCAGTGACAAATGCAAACCCTGTGAGTCAAATAGGCAAACTGATTAGCAAGCTGGCTGGGAAGTCAAAGCAGCGAATATAAGGAGATTAGCAAAATAGATCTGGAAGGAGAGAGGAGTAAAAATAGACTCCAGGGGTCAAGTGGGGTCCAATGGGCAGCCTGGGCTGCACATGTCAGGTTTGGCCGAGAACCAGCTATCTGCCTTAGGGTCCACAACCTTCCCTTCATCTAAGCTTTGTCTCCCCCAGAGATCACAGGATTCATCTCATCCAACCTCTCATGGAAGCTGAAATCCTTCTTAGAAACCCCAGAGGTGTCCATCTTCCCTTGAATCCTTCTGCCTGCGCGAGACTCATTGCCTCACAAGGCGGACCAACGCACATACTTGGTGCTAAGTAGGTGAACACTCTACACCGTGTTTGCTTCTCATGAATGACAATATAATCTTCAGAGCAGTCCAGTGTAATGAGATTATGCCCACCTGGAGAAACCCAGGCTCAGAGACATGAAGTGGCCTGCTCAGGTCACACAGCATGTAAGTGTGGCAGAGCTGGGCTTTGAGCCTGACCTGCCAGCCTCTGTGCTGAATGCCCCCCTCCGCCCTGGCAGGGAGCTATGATTTGCTCTCCTGGCATTGCTTCTCTTTACATCAATGGCATTCTCATTTAGGGACAGCAGTGGAAGGAGTCTGCAAGGGGAGTCCTTCAGTGCATGCCTGGATTCAAGGGAAGTAAGCCAGGAGGCAAGGGACGGGAAGCACCTGCCTCCTGCCGCACAGTAAGTCACAACTGTCTCGCTTGTCCTGAGTCAAGAGAGTGGAGCAGAGTGGAGGGCAAGTGTAGCATTTTATTCCTCTCTATCACGTGTTGCTATGTCACTACTCTCTCACTTCCCCAGATTTTAATTGTAGGGCTACTCAGCCTATATAGAGACTCCACTTGCTAATTACCTCCCAGTGCAGACCCATGAGGTTCCGGTTAGCTCAAACCCATTGGAACCAGTTGGCAGAGCAGAACCAGCAGGCAACTGCCTCTCTCCTGTTGTCATCTTGAGTTCAAGGAAAGACTTTGCAAATTACAAGTTAATCCTGGTTAGCAGCAAATACGACCACTGGGGATGGGGTTCCAGCTGAGGTGCCATTTCACGTGCGGCCTTGTGAGTATGGGAGGCCTGGGAGCTGCCTCCGAGGAACCGCTAGGGGAAGGTAGACAGGCCACGTGTGCCAGGGAGACCAAAAAGAAAGGACAAGAGGTTTGTGCAGGAGGAAGCACGGCGGCCTTGGAAGCAGCCCAGCATCTGTGAGCACCACAGCTCCAACAGCCCACCGCAAGCCTGGGAAATGGCAGGAGAACCTCCCTGGCCCTGGCCAATGGTGCTATTATTGTGGGCTCCAACGTTTCGCCACTCTGGATAATGAAACCCTGGGAGGAATTCGGGGGATTTCATATCTGGAAATCCCTTTTTCTATCAATATCCCAGAAGAGGGAGGAGAAGCGTAGGGAAGAAGCAGACCCTCTCCCCACATAAAGCCCAGGCTGCATGTGGAATGGCCACATGCTCGGAGTTTCGCCTGACAAGCTACGCACGCAGCCTGTGGGATGCCCACCTCCCTCAGCTCTGCTGGCTTGCTCACTCCTCTGTCTCACTCCTGGAGACCTGGTGAGACAGGGACCTCTCTCCAGCCCAGGTGAGAAAGCCACAGCCAGCAGGTGGGCCTCAGCCTGAGAGATGGGCTCCTACCCTTTGGATTCCACAGCTCTGGGAGGTAACCCAGGAAGCTCTCTTCTTCTGGAATCTTTTGGAGGGAGTCTGTTACCAGTGGCCTTGGGGGGAGAGGGGTGAGAAGGCCTGCAGGAATTCGGGGAATACCTTTGCCATATAAAACAAACCAAACTGAAACAAAAAAACCCAAGCACCTAAGCCTCAAACAAACACAAGGACCTATTGGTGCAGGACTGACTGCATTTTTTAATGTGCGAGGCAAAGATGATCAACCACCACCCCTCCCCATCCCCAAAGGGCATCTCCCTGTGGAGTGGGTGGTGGCTGGTGGACAGCAAGGCCCTGACTCAAGGCTAGGCACGCCGTGGGAGATGGGTAGGTAAGGGATAGGGCCCTGGGGCCTGGGAGGAACCTAAGGAGAGGGGGCCCTCAGGTTCTTAAGGTGGGAGCTTGCAGGGTGGGGGTGGAGAAGGAACTTCAGGGACTTTAGGAGGCTCCAGGGTGAGCGGGTCTGGGGGAGGCTGGGAGGAAAGGAGAGGGGGCGGGGAGGTGTCTCTGCCTATATGAAAGAGGGAACGTGGGAGAGGGCACGGGTTTCCTGGACGCCTGGCGAAGGCCTGCAGCTGCGCAGCCTGGCTGTGCTAGGCAGTCTTGCACTCGCTCTCGCGCCGGCGCTTCTTGCGTTCCACGTGCTCCTGTGCCTGGTGCAACCAGGGCCCAGCCCCGCTGGTGCCCACCACACAGCAGGCCAGCCGGCGACCCGCGTTGCCATTCTCCAAGCTGGCCGGGTTGTTACCATTGCCCATGTCGTCCTCGCCGGCGTGCACCACCACGGCACGGCCCACGATCGAGTGAGGCCCTGCGAGCGAGGCGGCCAAGCCGGTGCGGTGCTTCCACAGGCGGCCGTCGCCGCGCACCACGAAGTTGCCGAAGTCTCCGGGGTGCTGAGGGTGCGGCACGGCCAGCGGGTTGTAGTGGGGGCCGGTGGAATCGCAGCCCTGGCTCAGGTCCCCGAACTCGTGCACGTGGATGGCACGGCTGGTGCTGTTGGCCTCAGTCGGGAAGCCCTCCAGGTCAAAGTAGGCCTCCAGCTTGGCACCTGGCCCCAACTGCTTGAAGACGATGGTACCGCTGACCCGCGGCTGCTCCGCTTCCAACCTTGCCGATGGCTGCACCTGGCAGGAGGCATACAGCACCCCAGTTGGCTGGTCTTGAACCACCCGCCGCTGCGTGAGGGCCTGCCAGATCTCCGTCACTTTGGCATGCATGTCGCGGATTTGCTCCTCCTGGGTGTTCAGGAAGGTCCCGGAAGCCGAAGCATGGGCCACCAGAAGCAAGCAGCAGTATAGCAGCGCCAGCATGGCCAGGGTCGCGCACCTGCGGGACACCCCCCAGCCTCATCACTGGCAACGTCCCATCTCAGAAAACCGTCCTACTCAGCTTCACTCCCCCACCCCACCCCCAACACATACACACACCATGACCACTGGCCAGTTCCCTTAGGCAATGAATGCTTCTCCAGCGCTTGCTGGCTAACATGTTCTACTGTGCTGGGCACTGCGGTTGTGAACTTGAATGAGACCCACTCTGCAGAAAGTCACAAGAACCCAAGCACCAGAGTGCCACAGCCCCTGGTTTCTGTGGCCACAGTGTGAAGGGACCCTCATGGCACGGTGCCCTCCCAGGCCATTTCTCCTAGTCTCCCCACATCCCCACTTCCTGCCTGCAGACAGCCTTAGGGTTCCTGCTGCATAGCCTATGTCTGGCAGCTTCAGCCCCAGAGGAGGCAGCAAAGACGCAAAAGAGCATGGGCTTTGGGGAGACGTCTTGAGTAGTATGATTGAGGTGTAGCAGAAGGAGCTGTTTGGGATGACTGGGGTCCCCAAAGTCAAGTCTATGGGCTTAGTCAACGGTATCAGGCCCCAACCTGGGCCAGCTGAGGGTGATACTGCAGGTACCAGGTGAGGCAGCGGTAGAGGGATTTGGCACTTGGAAGAGGAGACAGAACTGACAGGTGTTCTGGTGAGGACTGCATGATGACAGACACTGATTGCTAAAATTGAGATGACTGAGCCTGAGCCCCAAAGAGTCTCATTCTGTAGGCCTCGTTTTTGTTATTTTGTTTTGTTTCAGCCACAAACCTATTCAGAGCACCCTCCCAGGTGCTCCCTGCAAGGAGGGAGTGAGATGTACTGATAAGTCTGCACACTTCCCACCTGACAACTGCTCAGCCCCTTCTGACCAAACTCCTCAGTCGTCTCAACCCCACCCCCATCTGTAGCTGCCCAACTGGGCGGTGGCCCACTTCCACCCCCACCCTGTAAAGCCCTCTCCACCTGTGAGAGGTGCCTTCTCAGGCGTGTCCTCCAAGAAACCTGAGCTGGTTGTTGAGTCGCCTCTCTCCAGTCCCAATTTTTCACCACCACAGTTTTCCATCTCTAATGCAGGGACCCCTGGATTGCCTCTGCACACAGCCACTACAGAAAGACCACTTAGTGTGGTGACAAAAACAATGGATGCTTGGACTTGCCTCCTGAGTCTACTGCCATTCTGAGGAGCAGAATAAATGCTCGGCCTCTAATTGTGCATGGACCCGCCTGCTCACGGAGCCTCCGTGTTATCTGCGAGCAGGGCTAATGTGATGTACCTCACACACTTGGCCTGGGGCTTACAACAACAGACAGCTGGCACAGCTGGCATCTGGGAAACACACGCTGTGCATGTGTCAGTCCTCACAGAAGCTTACACACTTATTCCATGCCATCCTCGTGCCCGTTTTAAGGTGCAGGCAACTGAGGCCCAGAGAAGCAAGAGGTATGCCCAATGCACTAAGTTTACGAAGTAGCTGAGGGCAGGATTTGAAAGCGCGTGGCCTGCTCTAAACCCAAGGTTTCAGAGCCACATAGCATGTGCCTCTCCACTAGGGCGTTTAACGCAGAGGCCATCCTGGAAAGTTCTTAGCCCATCGAAGTGCTTTGCCATCAGAGAAAAGCTGCTGCAGGAGCTTTGGGGACCATTAGCAGAGATCCCCTGTGGCTGTCCTGCCACCCCGGAGGGCTTTGCAGCTTGGAAGGATTTTCCTTAAAAGCCTGGCACACAGACAGTCTGTGCCGAATCCCTGAGCCTCTGTTCCAAGAATGCTTGGGTAATTTTAGACACTTTAAGAGATGTTTTTGTCTTGAAGCAAAAACAAGGGTGGGTGTTATGGCACAGCAGTTAAGCTGCCGCCAGGGACATTCACGTCTCACATTAGAGAGCCTAAGATTCAGCCCTGCCTCTGCTTCCATTTTGACTTTCTGCTTCTGCCCACGCTGGGAGGCAGCAGGTGAGGGCACCAGTACTGGTTCCCTGCCAGCCAAATGGGAGACACGGATAGAGTTTCTGCCTCCCACCGTTCGGCCTAGCCCAGTTCCTGACTATTGCTAGTTACTGGGGAGCAAACCATCAGATAAAAAATCTCTCACTTATATATGTGTGTGTGCATGTCAGCCTGCTCTTATGCCTTCCAAATAAATTAACAGGAAAAAGAAAATTCATTTTCAAATGCAGGTAAACTCTTGGCCCATCCATTTCTAGAAGCCACCCACAACCAGCTCCTTTTCCTACAATCTCCCACCCTCCCAGTTTGAGCTGTGAACCACCAGGTGGTTTTTCGAGGGCCCATTGACTTTGTGCATGGGCCTAAAGGAGGATGATACGGACATCCAAGAAGGGGGACAGGAACCCTGGTCCTGAATCAGAGAAGGCCCTCAAACTTGTGCAATACCTGCTTGTCTCTGGTCACTTCCACACCCCCACGACCTGCCTCACTCGTTGACATTTCTCTTTTCTAAATGCTGAGCTCCTTCCGGACTCCTCCTTGAAGTCCAAAGGTGAACCAGCTCGTTCCCCATCCCACAAGCAAGCACACATTGTGCCCATCTCCCTTCTCCGCACAGTCCCCAACTCCCCACTCTAGCACCGCTCGACCCTGCTCTTTAGTGCACATCTCTCCTGCAGAGAAGGGCCAGACACTTGGCCAAGGAGAGAATCCTGCTACACCACTCTAGTTTCCACCTTCAAACAGGCACACTCAAAACCAACATGAACTTGAACTTGGCACCCACCTTGCCAGCTCTTCCAGGAGAGCTTTGTTGCCTGAAAAGTGCAGAGCAGCACCCAGCTGGACACAGGCGCAGGGCTGACTCCGGGCGTCTGGGCTGTTTGTGGGAACCCACGGAAGCCTGCCCAGGGGAGTGGTCAGCACGAGGGAAGAAGGTCATTGGGCTGCTTCAGGGAGGGAAAGCCAGCCAGACTGCTCCTTGCAGAACTGCCTCTCCTCTTCCTTCTCCTCTTCCTCTGGCTGAACTCTCCCCACCCTTCCTAGCCCTGATTTCCTCTGCCAAGTCTTCATTTTTGTGACTTCACCAGCTCCTGCAGACGTAGCAAGTGACCTTCGGCACCCAGCACAGGAGCCAAAACAACAAAGAGCAGTGTCTAGAGAAGTGTACAATGGCTCTCTGTATTAAAAACCTTGGGTTTTCCCCTGAATGCTGCAGTCCTGGACTCATTTTTGCTGGTCCATACTGAAGGAGGAACTTGGTCCCGGATGATGTATGTGATGTTTCTTCCACACCTCTGAGAGATATGCACAGGTGTGGCATCGGCAACATGCCCAGGTCACAGAGCCCCAGCCTCATTGCCTTCTGTGTTTGAAGCCAGCAACCTCAGTCCTGGTGCCTCCCCTGTGGTGCCTGGGAAATGGGGATATGACACTGCCTGGAAGTGAATGCTGAAGTAAAAGCTATAGGAGGTAATCGTACACAGAGTGTGGGTCTGGAGACTGGCACGCCTAAATGATGACATGATGGTGTCATGAGAAATGATTCAATTCCAGGCTCCGGCTCCTGACTCCAGCTTCCTGCTAATGCAGGTCCTGGGAAACAGCAGATGATAGCTAAGGGTCCTTGCCACCATGGGGGAATATCTGAATTGGATTGCTGGGTCCTAGCTTTGATCCCCAGGCCCAGGGTCGTTACAGGAATGTGCTGAATGAATCAGAGGATAGGCACCTCTGTCTCTCTTCCTTCCTCTCAAGTAAGTGAATGCAGCAAGTTTTAAAACAAAAAGTAAATTTAAAAATAAACACAATTATAAGCCTTTGGGTTCCACCCTACAGGGAGTGAACTGGCTGCTGGCAGGCTTATTACTGCAGAATGATGTTATTGAAAACCTAGTGATTATGATGGACAATCATGTTTGGGAATCACTGCCTAGCAGGCTGAAATACTGAGGGGCCTTGAATGGAGCAACCATTCCAGAAGAGGAGACTTCGTGGGCCATTAAGGGCCCAGACCCTTGCCCTACCCTTGGGCCTGGGGTTCCCTGAGATTATTATCCCTTGCAGTCCTACATTCTGCCAAGCCCTGAGTTCTAGGTGCCACTCTCACCCCACCCCACCCTACAAAACTCCACTTTCACATTGTGAATCTTATATCCAATTACAAAAGTTTATTTTCATTGGATTCTTGAAACAATCATTGTTTAAGTTCATAGCTGTGGTTTCAAGTGGAGCTTTCTTCACTTAGCCTTGATGGCACAGGAAAGTACCCCTCCATTCTGATATTCCAAATTGGTGTTAAAACCCATATTTGCTTTTATTCAGGAAGCATTCTGAGGAAAACTTACACTTTTCCTCACCCTTCCAATTTCCTTCCCTTTCTTTGGTACCCCAATTTCCTTCTGAGCCAACAGATGGTGTTGGCTCCAGTTCTTTCTTTTTCTTTTTTTTTTTTTTTTTTAAGATTTATTTACTTTCACTTGAAAGTCAGATTTACAGAGAGAAAGAAAGAAAGCCAATCTGAAAACAAGAGCCAGAACTTTCTTCCAGGTCTCCTTTGTGGGTGCAGAGACCCAAGGCATTGGGCCATCCTCTACTGCTTTCCCAGGTCACAAACAGGGAGCTGGATGCAAGTGGAGCAGCCAGAACATAAATTGTTTTCTACACGGGATTTCAGACGCATGCAAGGCAAGGACTTTAGCTGCCAGGCTATTGTGCCAGGCTCAGCTCCTGTTACATCACCAGGAAGCTAGTGGCTTAGGTATCAGGAAGCACTATGCTGAACAAATCTGGAAGCTCAGAGCTCATGAGCTTCCATAACATCTTAGCTGGAACTGTTGAAAAGGTTGCCTACTCCTCTCCTTCTTGCCGACCTTGACATTGGAGTAATATGGCCAGAGTTAACCATAGCCACCGTGCCACAATGTCTTCATCTGTTTCTGTTACTATGATGATGTGCCTAGGAAGACCACATTACAAATACAACTCAGGTCACAGTTTTGGAACTCCAAATGGCAAGGTGTCAGCATCAGCTTGGCCCTGGAGGAGGCT